ACACACACACACATACATACACACCACCCCCCATTTCTTCAACGATAGACAATTACCCTGCATGCTGCACACATGGGTGTCCAATTATTTTATTTCTATACCTGAAAACACAGATACAATGACAATAACAAGTATATGGACCCCAATAATTAATCACGTCCTAAAAATCAGACTGGTGTTAAAGCTGGATATCTCCGGACGAAAACTGTACATGTATAAAAAAAAGATATATTCTTAAAATTCATAATACTATTCCACACGACTGTAGTTTGTATCACCACAGGAAGAATAGCTAACTGATGTCAAGCTAAATTGTCGATCCAAAGTCATAACGTACGGGTAACTCTTATATCGTGTAAAGTTGCATCAGGTGGTAGAGGACCGTTTTGTTTCATCGTACAATAATGGCAATCATGCCCGTAGCCATGCCCGTAGCCAAGGCTCAGTGTTCCACTTTTATCCTTTATTTATGGAATGTCAAGGTCCAAGACTGAGTTGTATCACCAGCGGGGTTGAAATCCTAGAAAAACTGCTCACCTTGTTATTGAATAAAAAATTATCACTGATTTTCCCTTTGAAATCCTCTCAGAAACGCAGGAAATGCCAGTTCAGGAGGTTCAATTTTCACAATTTTTCAGGGGTGCATGCCCTTGGACCTCCCCACGAACTTTGCGCCTTGGGTACTCGACTAGCACCCACGGCGCTCGCTGGTCCCGGTCCCTCGGACAGTGGGAAGAACCCCGTGATGTTATTGAAAACTGTTTTATTGTGCCGTTCTTCTACAAACAGCCAGCAGAATTATGAAGATACCCGTTCTCAATACACATGCTGCAAAGTAAAGTATGGCAGTCCTACTAAAATTCTCTTTGTAATGTATAAGCGCTTTATATCGACGAACAATGGGTGTGAAGTACGTTTTTTCGCCCATCGTATGCCACCGAATCTGTGGTAATTGGCTACTCTTACAAGTGAAAGAACCGCGTCCGTGGGCCTTGATAAATTATTCATAAATCGGTCACCGCTAGAAATTTACTGGATGGCATTCAGTGACGAGACCTCCCCCCCCACACACACACACACAAGAAAAATCCTGGCTACGGGCATGACACCTGATTCATGATAATGTCTCATCTGACATCTCACATCCTGGTGTCCTCCACAATGGGCACTTGTGGCCATGGCTGTCCCTGTTGCATGGGCTGGTAAAAGGGTTGTGTAACCACGGTGTTGTCCCTCCGGTGCTTGTTGAGGTAAGGGCCCCAGTCAGGAGGGCTGAGGATGCTCCTGGGCTCGCCCCTTACCTGTTCAGTTTAGTATAGTAACAACGTTGTGAGATATGCGGTTCCAAATGTAAAGTATTGCATACACAATATATATTGTTAATCAGCAATACTAAGTTAATGCGGTCCCAACTGTAAAGTAACCCCACGTATATTGTTATAAAACATTATGGAATTTTTAATACGTTAAAGGAATACTTATTTCGCCACAATTACTTTACATTCGGGACTGCATTCTAAACAGTAACACCTATATTTATACGCACAGTAAACCAGTCATATTAGCCATGATGAATACGACAGACGGTCACCAAAACGTTGGCTCATGTTATAGAAATGGCTGTGAAAAAGGGTCTTTGCGATTCAATCATTCATCAGCCTTATGAAATAAAGACTAAGCTTTAACTCCCAACACTTAGATTATAGAAATGGGACTAACCCCAAATTCTCGGTTGACTCCATCAACCTTGTTCACGGAATGCATATGGACCCGTCTACTCTTGGAACGTGACGTCAGAGACACGTGACCGTAGTACCGGGTCATGCGTGTCAGATAATTTTGGGGTAAGTCCAATTCTGTAGTCTAAGTGTTGGAGGTTAAAGCTTAGTCTTTATTCTATAATGACTTGTACCGACACAGATGAACTTTATTTCCATGCTATTTCACCAGCCTGATGATTTTCTGATGAATTCATTTAGATTTCATTCATTCTCAACACGAAAAGACAAACTCACCAATGCAATGCCGATGTTGATGACCGCCACAAGGGGAATCACCACCAGACTGACACTTGCGATGCAGTTTCCCAGCCCCTGGGTCCACTGGGGGAACACGTATTGTCCATACCAAACCTGATGTGGCCACAAGCCAAGGATGCCAACAAATATGAAATGTACCTGAAAAACAATTGTATTACCCTTGAGCGTTAACTTTGTGAACTATGTATCAAAATTTTGTGCCTAAAGTTCGTGGCAATCTTAGACATTTTTTATGAATATGAAACTGGACAAAACAATAAGCTAACCAACACTTCACCAACATATCAAGTGTTGAATTGTAGTTGCTAAGCTACATGATTACACTTTTAGCATAATATAATTGCAGTGCATGTCACAGGAGCCAAAATACTAGTACATGTAAAACGTAGACAACACGAAGCGTACAGACAACATAATTAGCTACCTCGAAAAGTTAACATCAAACCCGCTAGATACCGAAATCACAGAAAACGAAATCTTAGAGGGTCTACGTAATCTAAAAGGCAGCAAAGCAAGTGGTATAGACTCCATCATAAAAGAAATGCTGAAATATGGGCAGACAAAACTAATAACACCTCTAAAAAAACTATTCAACATTGTTCTTCATTCTAGTAATTTTCCAAATCAATGGAGCCGAAGCACGTTGGTTCCAATTCATAAAAATGGCAGTTCTTCAAATCCGTCTAATTATCGAGGAATAGCGATATCCAGTTGCGTCGGAAAGTTATTCACATTCATATTAAGCAGACGTCTACAGCGTTTCCTTGAAGACGATAACCTCCTATCCCGTTTCCAGTCCGGCTTTCGTAAAAACTTCCGTACCAGTGACAACATATTTGTACTCAAAACTTTAATCAACAAACAGATATCTGCACCTTGTGGCAAATTGTATGCCTGTTTTGTAGACTTCAAAAAAGCATTTGATTCCGTTTGGAGGAATGGGTTATTTTATAAAATTTTATCTTCTGGTATTGGCGGGAATTTCTTTAGAATCATAAAATCCACCTACTCTAATTTAGAATATTGTGTCAAAACGCCGATTGGATTATCAGATTTCTTTAAATCGACTTGTGGTATGCGTCAAGGATGCAATTTATCTCCTCTTTTGTTTAATCTATATATAAACGATCTTCCAAATATGTTTTCCTCACCTCTATGTGATCCTATTGACCTCAAAGACACACCCATAAATAGCCTTCTCTGGGCAGACGACCTTGTATTATTATCCAAATCAGAAAAGGGCCTTAAAGAATGTCTTAAAAGACTAGACGATTTTTGTTCTCTTTGGAAGTTATCAATCAATAGAAACAAGACTAAAGTAATGATCTTTTCAAAAAATGGAAGAACATATAAAAACCAAAACTCCACTTTCCAAACGCAAGGACACACGATAAACATCGCCCAGTCTTATACATACTTAGGGATAGATATTACTCCATCAGGGTCATTTACACGGGCTACCAAGCAATTAAGATTAAAAGCTTTACGTGCTTCCTTCAAACTAAAATCTTTTCTGGCTTCAAACTACAATCCATCCATAACTCTTGCCCTTGACTTGTTCAATAGTCTAATAAAGCCCATCTTACTTCATTGTACAGAAATACTGGGGGCAAACATTCAATGTAGGGATTTGATTCTCAATGGTATACAGGAATATTCTGGTGAAAACACAAGAGAAGCAATATATAACATACTTTCGCGATATTAGGTGCAAACGTACAGCTCTTAAAGGTTACACGAATAGGGAAGAAATGTGATTTGCCATCGGCTCGTCCTGTTCTGGTTCGTTTTAAGAAATACAGTGACAAATTAAATCTTACATACCAGTCTAAACAGCTAGCTATTCAAAACATATCGTTGAACTATCCCAAAGCATCGTATGAAATACCCGACCTAGAGCACGTTCTCCTCAATTTCTGTAAAACACTACTTCAGATTCCCAGAAGCTCTGTTAATGCCGCCGTAAGGGGCGAACTTGGAGCTTTTCCACTTTATATTGACTCGCAATCACACCTCATTAAATATTGGCTCAGACTACACAACCTGCCCAATGACAGAATAGTAAAAAAGGCTTATGATATTGCTTTGGAACAAGAACAGGACTGGGTCGTTCATGTAGAAGATATTTTTTATGTAGACACGGTTTTCAAAATGTTTGGCTAAACCCAACAGTTGACGCCAAGCATTTTGGAAACGTGTTCAAACAACGTCTGAAAGACACGTTTGTTTCTGGCTGGAGGCAAGAAATAAGAAATTACAATAAACTGCAAACCTATTCTAAATTCAAAACGGACTTCACTTTTGAGAAGTACCTTTCATCAATCCAAAACAAATCATTTGTTGCTAACATAACCAAACTGCGAATCAGTGCACAATGTTTAGAAATAGAAAAAGGTCGTTATAAGAATGTACCAGCCACTCAGAGACGCTGTCCTACATGTAAACATACTGTTGAAGATGAATTTCACTTTTTATTATCTTGCCCCATGTATACTGAAGAAAGGTTGACACTTATAAATATGATTTCACGTAACTCAAACATTACCTTACCTAAGACAAGCTCAGATACTTTTAATTTACTGATGTCATGTCCTGAACCAATATCCTTGTATATAGGCCAATTCATATCCTCTGCTCTTCAGAAAAGAAACAATATCATCTGTGACACCTTGAACTGATGTTAACATTGTATCCATGTTCCATATATATTGTATAATTCATCACGCACAATTATAGGGTAGCGTTAGAATAAGGTATCTAGAAGTAGATTTTAGTATTGTTGCTATCTTTTGATTTAAACACTTGCCATACATTGTATCCATTGCAATTGTTGCGCAATAAAGATTGATTGATTGTATACATTTTTTCAGGTACGAATACAAAAAAAATGCTCCGGGACTTCCATGTCTAGATTTGCAAAGAATTATCTAACAACATATGTGCTAAATTTTGTGCTATAACACAAATTTGCACAATTTTGCAGATTATGTTGCTGAACAAGAAAACAGACAAGTGCACATATTTATGATAGTTCAATGCTCCGAAAATTAACTATGTGAAGTATATGAACCTCACGCAATCCGTAGAAGTGGTAGAGCGTATATGATACTATAAATTATTTATTCCAATTTCTTATACTGATTCTATGCATACTCCACTGTAACTTTCTCCCAGCATGCAGGGAGACCGCTTTATTTGACCTTCAATTCGACCTTCCTACTAGTCTGTGGTTACACCATTCCCCCCTCCCCCTCACTTCCCGTGATTCTGCTGCATTCAAATAACTAGGGACACGTCAACAAACGCTGAAAGCCATATCTCCGTACCAGGAGGTAATTAAAGCAGCAATATGTAGAATTAAGACGATATAGAAAGTAAATTTCCCAGACATTTCTTTACAAAGTAAGTTGAATCAATCCTACTCCATTGCAAATAAGCGCCATTCAGGAATTGGAGGTGCCAAAATATTACACCATACGAGTGTGTTTCAAAGTTAAAAACACATCTATCGGCTATGTTTGTTTAGATTCTGGTATTTTGTGGTGGCACCACAAACTGAGTGCGCCTCGTGTGGGCTGTTTTAGCGCCAACTATAAATGACTCAAAGAGAGTTGCACAAATACATTGAAACGTGGAAGTAAATTAAAATCACACATTTTTCAATAAAAAATTAATTTCTTTGGAGAAAAAAATGTTACATGATACAGATTTAGGTAGTGACTGACCAACATGAGGATGGGGATGTACAACCAGGCTGCTGCCGTCATCCCGTTCACGATAGTCGCACAGCAGAAACAGCAGACGTGCTGCAACATGTGGCTCAGGTGCGACATCCAGCGGTTCAGCGCGGGACAGCAGCGATCACAGCCAGCACCTGGGCGAGGAGACGGGAAACATTTATTTATTTATTTTCATTTAGCACATACATAGTTATTACATAATGAAAAATTATACCAAAGAATACCAAAGAAATAAATGTGCAAGGGCAGGAAGAAAAGCTGCAATGGCTTATTTAAAGTCCTCCCCTTCATGATTTTACAATTTCTACAATTAAATGAAATCTAAATAACAATGAAGAAGTAATAAAAAGATAATAAACAAGTACAATAAGTTGTAAAATTAGTAGTTGTGTTGTCATCTCGCAATACTTGACACTATATTAGAACAATGATAGTTGAAATTGGTGATTGTAACCCAAAACCTTTAGCCATGTCATGTTCATGTGAACAGTACTTTAGGAGAAACACCATAGAGCATCAATATACCAATACACATGGAATTCTAGGCGTGCTTTGATATTGCAATTCTCTGTACAGTATAACAGCCACTGAAACTGCGGTTAAGTGATACTTACAGTAGAGATAGGTGAGAGCCACACACTCCAGGAGGATGAAGACATGAGGTTGGATGGTACTATTGAAGGTGTCCACTAAGGTCAACAGGTAATTCCCACCCTGTAACAATTTTTTTGTTTGTGTTTTAATAAGTAGTTCGGTGGTAAGATTAAATGCATCTCTGTTATAGCTTAATACAAAGACTAATGTGTTAGTCACATAATTAAAATTATCAAATTGAATTTTGGATTAAATTATTCAAGAACAGTATACACGTGATTTTTACGCACGTGTGACGTCAGTACTGGGTCAAAGTTCGTCGGAAGTCCGTACCGCCCCCCGTCCCGGTTGAGAGAGCTTGGACCTGGTGCTGACGTCACACGTGCGTAAAAATCTCGTGTTTAAAGCGCTTGGGTTAGATAGCTAAAGAGTATTCGGTTGAAAATTCCACTGAGTCAATTTCTTTTTAGTTTGAGAACAGTTTCATAATTTGCATTATGTACTTTAGCAATTCTTAGAGATGAACTTTCATGCTAGTGTTAGTCACCTGTGTGACGTACGGCAGTCCTAGCAGGAAGAACAGGAAGCAGACAGCCACAGTCGTCACGCCGTGGAGGACCGTTCTCTTGCCGAGCAGCCCGGACTCCTTCCCGGGGAGGTTATTCAGCATACTCGTCGGGATCAGGTCAGAAAGGGAAGTGACGACGGTTTCCACTAAAACAATCTAGACATGGGAAATAATAATATACAGGAGTTTCTTTTTACACAACCGGTAATGCATACGTTTTGATCCCTAGCCTGTCAGATATCTTCCTCGGGGCGTCTGACTGGAGTTCTGCTTCTCGCCGCCATTTGTATACAATGTACGACGTAGGTGTCGCTTTTACAACGAGAACACCATCCCAAACCTGGCTATTTATTTATAGTTTGTATCCCCCCTCGTCCCGGTTTATCACTGGGGTAGACTTTTTTATCCAAACAGTTTCAATTTCAGCTTCCTAGATCCATAGGATACATCTGTTACCTTCTCCGTCTATTACCTTGTCCCCTCGACCACGGGAGACAGAAACTGTGTTTTCGTCACCTACATCGGCTACATATAGCAGTAAAAAGCAGTACTCCGGTCAGAAGCTCCGAGAAAGGCGTCTGTGTGAAAGGGAATTTCAATATCCTATGTTCCATTGACCAAATGAACTGTTATTTTCGGCAGTATTAGCTAGGGTTTTCCCCAAAACAATATCACAGCTGCAAGCAAAATCATAAAATCTACAAACGGTGCTGTAAAATGTACAGACATCCATTAAGCGACGGTCACAACCCGCCGTACGTGCTCCTGTGTGCTGTCTACGTGCAAAAGTTAATAATATCACAACTAAGGCGAAACAGACATTGGGAGTGATTAAACGTAATCTGTGGGCATGTCCAACTAGAGTAAAATCACTTGCATACACGTCACTTGTAAGACCGAACCTAGAATACGCTGCGACAGTATGGGATCCATATACAAAGAAAGACAAAGACAAATTGGAAAGAGTACAGAATCAAGCTGCAAGATTCTGTATGAACAACTATGTAAGAGGTGCTAGTGTCACGGAAATGAAAAGAAACCTACAGTGGACCTCACTGGAAGACAGAAGAAAGATGTCTAGACTATGCATGATGTACAAAATGACTAATAAACTGGTGGATGTCCCAACTACTAAGTACCTAATACCAGCCCAGAAGAGAACAAGAAATAGCCACGCATTCAAGTACCAGAGGTATCAACCAAGGATTGAGGTGTTCAAGAATTCATTCTTTCCTAGAACTATCGCAGAGTGGAACTCACTGTCACCAAGTACAGTAGGGGCATTGTCAATAGATAGCTTTAAACAATGTCTAGAGCTAGAAGTTCAAGGGTTAGGTGTAACTAGTCGATCGGTGTAATATAGCCAGCTGCCGCCGCGCCGCGTGCCTGCGAAGCTGGTGTGTTACGCCGAAAGGCGGTTATACCGGCTATACAGATACAGATACAGAAAAACGTGGGCAAACGCAGGGCATCCGTGCGTGGTGATTACCACCTCCGTACGGAATCCTGCGGATTTGGGAGCACGCAGACACGCCGTAGAACTTTATGCAACGGTCACAACCCGCCGTACGTGCTTCTGCGTGCTGTCTACGTGCAAAAACGTGGGCAATCGTACGGCATCCGTGCGTGGTGAGTACCACCTCCGTACGGAATCCTACGGATTTGGGAGCACGCAGACACGCCGTAGAACTTTAAGTGCATGTAATACTTTTTCTACGTGCGGTCTGCGGATTTACCACCCGTGCGTGCGAGTACGTGCGACGCGCGTGCCCCGTACAGTCTATGAGCGTGCAACGTACGGACTCCGTGAGTCTAACTTCACTATTCTCACGTGCAATTGCTGTACGGACAGCGCACGAGGCACGTGCGCGCCACGCACGGTGCTTGCGTCATACGTGCTTACTCCTCACTTCCCAGTTGACCTGCTCAATGACCACGCAGAAGACACGTGCACCATACCACGTGCTCCGCACGTGCAACGCACCTGATTTCTACAGTATATAAAGACGACTTGACGGGCGGCTGCTAACTCGTCTCCAAGATGCCCAGGAAGGCTCAGAAGAAGACTACCTACCAGACAAGACCCAAAGAAACGGGCCGCGGAAGACACCAGGGGGGCTAGTGATGATGAAGTTAACAGGAGGTGCACGCACTTACAACGTGCGAGTGAGTAAGGAAACCGTGCGTACGCCGAACGTGTAGGTACGGCCTGTACGCGGCAACGTGGCAATCTCACAGAGATCTTACGTTGTAAGCACGTACAACTCACTTACCACTTGCGCAACGTACAATGCACGCAACCGCTGACGGCCAGGCGTGTCGTGCAGACCACGTACGTACACCTTGCGCAACCGTGCGAGTGACGTACTCCCTCGGCCGGCCACCCTACGTTTGCAGAAAAAACGTAGCAGACGTAGCCACGACAAAAACGTACGGACAAAAAGCACGCACGGCGAGTTGTGACCGTCGCTTTAAGTGCATGTAAAACTTTTTCTACGTGCGGTCTGCGGATTCACCACCCGTGCGTGCGAGTACGAGTGACGTGCGTGCCCCGTGCGTGCCGTGCGGAAGAAGCACGTGTGAGTACGGCCTCCTTACGGTAAAGTTGCAATCGCACAGGGATCGTACATGTAAGCACGTACAACTCACCACTTGCGCAACGTACAATGCACGCAACCGCTCACGGCCAGACGTAACGTGCAGACCACACTCTTACACCTTGCAAAACCGTGCGAGTGACGTGCGTCGATGCCACTCCTTCCGCACGTTTTCAGAAAAAACGTCGCAGACGTAGCCTCCCAAAAAACGTACGGACAAAAATCACGTACGGTGGGTTGTGACCGTCGCTTTACTTATATAGTATAGTAGGCTCATTCAAATGCAAAATGCTGTCGCCACTCTTTACTACTAGATATGAGCCAAATTACGGACCTCATCTTTGCTTTCTCACTTTCCCCTAAACTTACTGTTTCAGAAAAAAATGTATCGCAACAATGGTTTTGGCTAATGACTTTGAAGAAAGACGCGGAGTTGGAGAGATCTGAATGTCTTTAAGCCGTCGTAAACATAGCCTGCTTACTAGACCTATTATAGCTCCCGAGAGGCTGTAGGACTCGGGAGCTATAATAGGTTTGGTAACTAGGCAATCGTAAACACGCCAAAACTGACCTGAGATCCATACGCCATCAGGAAGAGCATGAAGAAGAACAAACCAGCCCAGACCGCCCCCGCTGGTAGACGGGAGAACACATCCACCATCGTGCTAAAGGCGAAGTTAGTTCCTGCAGCTGTGTACGTACATGTAAGGCATGAATTTCATCCAGTCAAAAAAAAAATTGCAAACGTCAGACAGTTTTCTAAATCTACTCCGTTGCTCGAGTAACTGTTTTCTAGTGTGTTATATCGCTGTCCAACGTTCCAATACATTCACAAAACCCTAAAACTCAGTTAACTTGAAGGTCACGAAACCCCAAAATACTTCTCGGAAGTCTGAAATCTTTGTTTATTTCTTTTATTTTTATTTGCACATGCATAGAAAAAAATTCTGAAGTAATACAATACACGAATGAAAAAGATATGAATAACATATACAGAATGAATGTACTGGAGGCGGAATAAAAGCCTTAAGGTTTATTCGTGCCCCTTCCATTACAATTAAGAGCATAATTAATAATAATTATAACACTAATAAAGGTAAGTAAACAACTTATGAAAAATACTAATAGGTAAACTAATTTCCCAAAACAAACTTAAATGGTAATATTACAAACTTAAATAACGAAATAAATATTCAATCTCCGATTTCTAAGGCCGTAGTTATCATGATAGTCGATGACCCAACCACACACATTTTTTACCGTAATATACCGTTTACTACAGGAAAGTAAATACGTTCATATTTTCCTGAGCAATGGTGAGGATTTTCCTACCTGATACGTCAGCGATTGTCGTGTTAAGTTCGTACGCCAGGTATCCGAAGAACGCAGAGGCCGTCAGCACACAGAACAACAGCACCAGGAAGTCCACCAAAACAACCAATATGGCATCCCTGAGGACAGGACAGTCACAGATTAAAAATGCAGTTTATTAGTAGAACAGTGCAAAAATAACCTGGGAAGAGGCTGAGGAAGCAGCAACCCAGATGGAAGCTTGCTGCCCAATGTGCCTGTAGGCACAGGAAGACCTAAGATCTAAGGGTAAGTGTACTCCTCTAAATCATTACACAATAACTAATTTCAATTTCAATTTTATTAAGAATATTCAACATAGCAGGGGTACACAGTACTCCTGAATTGTGTAGCCTTTTCATAACATTAAGTATAAGAAACGCACAAGACAATTACATACAAGAGTAGGACATGAAACACAAGAACACTAGGTCTGCATTTGGCTATTGTACAGTCTGATTGTGCAGTGGAGGAACGAGTTATACAGTCTGTTTGTCGGTGCCTTTGGCACCGTGATTCCCCCAGAGTTCCTCAAACACCTCCCTGTGCTGTCCGACTATAACTAAGCTTGAATAGCATGCTCATTTAATCATCTTCTTTAACACGTTTTGCACAAGACACACCTGAGGACATTGTTGTGGAAACGATTGTAAGATGCCAGTGTCGTGTAGCCACCATAGCCCAGGCTCAATCGGTGAATAATGGCGGTGATCAGCGTCGGGTAGAAACTCTGATTCACCTGATAAAGAGAGACACACAAACGTCGCAAGTTAATTATTAATTGACGCTACATGGCACAAAATATTAACAAGAATAACAAGAATTTGTTGATCTTATACCTCCATGAAATATATGAGCTTTTGTAAATGTTTTTACACAGTACACCGCGGTACATAACGAAATATCATGATACTGTACATGTAGCCTATTCTAGAGGGAGAACCTCATTAATCAAACCGGGCAGGCGCGCTGCCTCCACACGTGTTATGCGTTAGAGGAACTCTTTGACAGTTGGTGTTTTGTAACATAACCCGCACATCTGTTTTCCCTGCCTTACGAAATGATACAAAAACCGGAAGTTCTGCTGCAGTACTAAGGTCAGCGACCAGGAGGCCCATATTTTGCCTTGACCTTCGGCTTCCTAAGACCTACCAACATACCAAATATCATCACAATCCATAAAGGCGTTCTGGAGTTATGCTGAGTACAAATATGCCGAAACACACACACACACACAAACACACACACACACACAGACGCGCCAAAAACAATACCTCCATTTTTCATGGAGGTAATAAAATATATCATGAAAATATCGTCTATACTGTGAGAGCAAAGGGCGATAATTCCAAGACAATATGCATCCTATGCTGATCTGTGCATTTCAACTTACTGATAACGCAGGGGCCAACAAGTAGACCATCCCCTCCGCGGCGCCCGGCAAACTCACGGCGCGGATAAACATGATTATTATCAGGACGATGGGAACGAGAGTTGTCACGTAGGCAACCTGTGGAGCAAAAGGACATATTTTGCTAGTCTGCAAGCCATTGTTCGTAAGGCGTAATCAGGCTTTTTTATAATTAGTCTTCGTAATCCGTAGAAAGCCTCTCAAAAAATCAACGTTATCCGTAATAGTACATTAGCCGCAAAGCGTAAAGTCATCATCAGCTCTGAGAATTTAACATAATTCGTAATCGGTGGCTACAATTTTTGGTAATTCGTATTTTTAAATCCAACTTTACGTATAAAGTTGACACAATCTTTAGTTCGCTGGAACTGGCAAATTATGGCAACATATATAATACAGAACGAATCCTTCCTATGATAAGAAGGCCTGTATTACCATATTCCCTTGTATATTTTTTAAACGTTATCTGCCATGGCCTTTTGATTGCACAATTTACTTGTATAACGGTCCTTGCATTCTACTTTGTAAACTCAAACAAGAGAGCTAGAGAAATGGTACATATTAAAAGGTACACTGAAATGTTTTACAACCTTCCCCAACGACTTGGCTCCAAAGCTGAGGGCGACTGTCACTAGAAGCCATGCAAGGATGAGGAATCCCGCCAGGGGTCCTCGCACAGCTCCCATGTTGTCGATGCCATCACTCAACTGCAGGACATAACGGCTGGTAGATCGAAAAGATATCAAAATATGAAGAAATTGTATCCCTGTGAGGCAAACTCTATCTGACTAACTCCACTAGAATGTTATCTCTCTATTCTTCTTTTAACTTCCCAAAACTCACTAATTTTGCAAAAGGTGGGACATTGCGTCTTTCATGGTCTAAAAAAGAGAAGTCAAACCCCTTAGACATAGTTTTAGACATAGCTATTGACAACTACCTTTTATCATGTAGATTTTAGTTATTCTTGGCACGAATTTGCAATAAACTTCTCTATGTGGCCAATTTCTACTCTTTCCAGCCGCGTCCCGAAGCCTGGTAGAGGCTACTCCCACCAATTAACCTCGACCATGTTTAGGACTATGTCGGGAGCAACGTCGGCTGCCGATCTGCCTAATGTTTCAAGTGTTTAAAACAATTGGGTGTTTACGGGAGGTTCGGTTATTGTTGGCTGGTGTTTGGGAGTAGATTGGGTAGTTCTTTGCAGTCAAATTAGACTCAAAATTTAACTCAAAATAGTTTGGAATCGAACTAAAAAAAGTACTGGCGTAGTCCAAATCTGATTAAACTGTTCCCGAACTTCAGCCAACCAGGGTAGTCTGATATTGGGAGAAAGTTTTGAATTTGCGAATCTTTTATATCAATTAGCTTAATTAGACTAACTAATTTACTTACTAATAATAATTAGACTCATTCATCACAATAGATTCAAACAATAGCAGTTTTTTCCTTACTTTGCGTACTCGCTTGATGCCCGGCTCAGAGTGCCACATTCAGCAGTGTTCCAGGCGTTGGCACACGATGTGGCTCTGTCCAGGTCCCCGGTGACGTAGAACAGGTAGTACAGTATCTGCGCCACCAGACTGTTGTAGTAGATACACAAGATGGCCGACATCACAGCCATTCCGACCCCGATGCCTGAAAGTTACAACGTTGCAAAACATATTTCAAGTAACCATCATGTTGTTGCTTCAGGTATAATAGTTAAAGTTACAGCGTCATATTTTTTTCTATTCGAACATGTGATCACAAGACCCGGTGACGGCACAGTTTTTTTTTTTTTAATTTATATTAATGTCGCCTCCAACACAGGGGACAATACAGTACTCAATTTTTCCTGAGCGAAGTGAGGAAAGCCGTGTAAAGTACCTTTCCCACGGGCACAAGATCGGTGGCATGTAATATTTAAGGTCAACCGTCAAAATGTACATATACATTGTAAAATTGTACATTTCTAAATTTGAGCAGAAACACTGTTAATATAGTTTCAAATTCTAATGATTTATGTCAAAACACCACAAACACCACAACACAACTTGGTGCGATTCCAAAAATAAATAAAACAAAACTGAAGATCAGTTTATTCACCATGAAGAGACGCATACACTGATATATAAAATTCCATGTGACTTAGCCTGTAGTATGGGCACCCCTCTCCATGCACGGATAGTTCCCTATGACTTACCCTGTAGTATGGACACCCCTCTCCATGCACGGATAGTTCCCTGTGACTTACCCTGTAGTATGGGCACCCCTCTCCATGCACGGATAGTTCCCTGTGACTTACCCTGTATAGTATGGGCACCCCTCTCCATGCACGGATAGTTCCCTGTGACTTACCCTGTAGTATGGACACACCTCTCCATGCACGGATAGTTCCTTGTGACTTACCCTGTAGTAAGGGCACCCCTCTCCATGCACGGATAGTTCCTGTGACTTACCCTGTAGAACGGGTACCCCTCTCCATGCACGGAGAGTTCCTATGACTTACCCTGTAGTATGGGCACCCCTCTCCATGCACGGATAGTTCCCTGTGACTTACCCTGTAGTATGGGCACCCCTCTCCATGCACGGATCGGTCCCTGTGACGTGTACTGTCCCAGCGCCATCTCCAGGTAAACAATGGGAAAACTGATGAACATCTGAGCCACGAGATACACCCACAGGAATACACCTGGTGATGTTGAGACACATTTTTGCAACGGATTTTGAAGCTTGTTTAGCGTTAGATGTGCAAAGACTAGGTGTAACAAGTCGTGCGGTGTAATATTATCACCAGCTGCCGCCGCGCCGTATAACTCTGAAGCTGGTGTGTTACGACAAGGGGCGGTTATACCCGCTAAACAGATGCAAATACGGGATTAGACCTTATTTTCTGCCTACCTGACTGGACCATTTATTCCACCTACCCGTTTTGCACTAATATAATTACCTTTACCTAGAAGATTATTTTTCAAAAACGTTCGTGTGTGTGTGTCTGTGTTTGTGGTTCTGTGTGTGTGTGTGTCTGTCTGTAAACACAATAAGGGCCTCATTTGCATAATTTATAAGGAAATGCTAGAATGTCCTTTTTGTAAACATAAGGCCGTATTTGGGTTATGTGGTGGAGAATATGATCAACTCAACCAGTCATCCACAGTCATCAACTGATATACTATTAATTTATGCAAATGAGGATCCTATTTTTATAATCAGGGGGCCCCGGGAATAATCTATATTTTGTCAGTCATAAAGGTTAACATCATTTGGCGAAGGTATGAGATCGGCGAACTCTAGTTTAAACTTTACTTCTACCTATACATACGAACATAATGTACAGCCACTTGTTACTAAATTTACATCATGACGGTGTGGTCTATAAAAAATAATAAAATTTGACTGACTATATTTATACCATGCTTTTCTTCAGAATCTTAATATACAGGAAGAATACACTTTAGAATACGGGAAGAATATACTTCACATTTTTTAAATATATTCTATAGTTGTTGTACCCCTAGTCTGCAACCTCCGTATACGTACCCCCTCCGTTTCTGGAAATCACGATTGGCATCACCCACAGATACCCCGGGCCGATAGCACAGCTGATGCTCGCCAGGATGGACTCAAAGTTACAGGACCAGTTCCCGCGCTCCTCGTTCTCCTCCTCGCAGCCGTTGTCACAGCAACAGCAGCTCGGAGCACTGTCCGTGTTGTCTGTTGTCATGACAACCACGTGTGTAGGGAAGGTGTGCATGGGCTCGACGGAAGGACTTGTTTCCGTTCGAGGTGGCGACGCCATGTTGTTCTCTGTAAATATATAATTATACATTATTGCCTTCGACTGAAGGCTATGCCTTCGGAGAAGGTTATGAAATCGGGTTTGCACTGTTTGGCAGATTAGGCACGATAACTCTTGAAGGCAAGGTCCGAGGTTCACGATTTTTGGCAGGCAGGTTGATTTAGGGGTGGCCATTGTCAAGGCTAAAAATGGGCTTCGTGGGGGGTTCCTAAGTCACTGTAGTTGACCTTGGTTTTTGGTGTTTTTTCCTTGTCATCAAGATATCTCGAGAATCCTTAAATGGATGTTCATTATTTTTAGTTGGCAAGTTACCATTGACAATACCAAGGTCAAGTTCGGATATGGGCTTCGTGGGGGGTCCCCACGTCATTGAATTAGAAAGTACTGCAGCGAAACTTCTGGTTTTTAAATCTCGTGATATGGACGTGCTAGGGTCATGATTTTAGATGGTAGGTAGCTCTCGTGCTCAGAAAGAAGTGCCGTAAGTTTGGGCCCCGTAGCAGCTTGTTTGGGAAATACAGAGGCATTTGTTTGAAAATGTTTGAAGTAGGATAGCTCAAGAACCGGTTGACGGATTGTTGTTATTTTTGGTATCTCGGTAGCTTAAGTGATGCTTGACCTAATTAGATGACAATTATGCAAATCACGATCTAATTTACATAATGAATGACAAAAGTCTATAAATCTGCTGCCTTACATAATAGAACAATTAAAATGGTGGCATATTTAATCAAGAGGAAGAGGAACATTAACAGATATTAATTATGTAAATTGTGACCCAATTTGATTACTTGATAAGAGAAATCTAAATGTCTTTCATACTGTAGTTACGTAGTGGGCTTTTGGTGATTGTTAGTTTTTCAGTAGTTGAAGCTGTAGAATAGGAATTTAAAAAAAATTTTGTGAATAGGTTAAGGGGTTTAGATTGAGGGTTTAAAATTTGGAGTCTGTAGTAGGTTGTGAGTACGTGTAATAGCCTAAGGACATTTTGTTTGCACATCTTTAAAGTGTAGGCGAAGTCTTTGTCCTTTTATGTAGTTGGTTAAACTAACAACAGCATAGTTGGGTTAAGTAGGTTACGCTAACAATAGCACAGCAAGGGTGTAGAGTTGTTTGTTGAGATAACAGTAACCGTCAAGTGTTCCTTTAACAATCGAAGCTATCCAGGAAACAGTCCTGACAAGGTAGTACTGTAAATCAAAAATAGGTTCAAGGTCAAGTGTTGGAAACTGCATAACAAGTGCCTGTTAAACTACATGTAATTAGTGGACGATGACACAGCCTTTAAAGTGCATGTATTTACTAGTACATGTATATGGTAAGTTTAACATTACTAGCTACATGTACGTGTGTAGTTTAAAAAGATGTGCGATATTTGAGCCACTTAAAGAATTATTTGTTGTCTTGCTTTTTTTTTGGGCACAAAACCACATAGGAAGGTATTGTAGGACACTTCCACACCATTTCCAGGGTAAAGAGTTGTTTGTTGAAGCAACATAGGTGTTTGGAGTGTCTAGTAGGTTGTGGGTTTTCACATGCAGGCGTGTTGTTCTATGTAGTACATGTAGGTTAAGATAACAGATAGGGTGAACTAGGGTAAGATAACAATAACACTGGCAGGGTGTAGAGATGTTTGTTTGAACAGTACCAATGAAGTGTCCTATAATAACAAGAGTCTCAGCTACTCTGAAAACAGCCCTGACAAGTTAGTACTGTATATCAAAATAGATTCAAGGTCAAGTGTGGGAAACCGCATAAGAAATACATGGTATACAACTTTTTTGAGTACTAGTAAGTTGTAACTCATATGCAGGATTCAATGACGTTGTTGGATCGAGCTCAAAAGGTACAATTAATTTGCAAAGAAATATATATTTTCACTTAAGGTTCTTTAAATTGTATGTATGTTTACAAAATCTGGCTAATATATGCAGCCGTGGAAAACAGCGTTTTGGCGCATATTTTTAAACTACTCACGTCACTTTTCCCAACCAAAAAGAGCTACATAAGCTTATTTTCCAAATTTTGTCACCCTAGCATGTCATGAGATTTCAAAACTGGAACTGGTCAACTACATGTATATTGTTTTTAATTATCTAGTATAAAGCGCATGCCATAATTGCATTTTGTTGGAGTTTCTACCATCTATGGAAGACTCTCCTACTCGCACGGTCGTCTTACGTATGGCAACTCTTTTTTGTGTTTTCTCTTGTGGACAAGATAACTCGAGAATCTTTAAATGGATGTTCATGTTTTTTAGTTGGCAAGTTACCATTGAAAATACCAAGTTCAAGTTCGGATATGGGGTTCGTGGGGGGTCCCCACGTCATTGAATTAGAACGTACTGCAGCGAAACTTCTGGTTTTTACATTTCGTGATATGGACGTGCTAGGGTCATGATTTTTAGATGGTAGGTAGCTCTTGTGCTCACAAAAAAGTGCCGTAAGTTTGCACCCCGTAGCAGCTTGTTTGGGAAATGCAGAGGCATTTGTTTGAAAATGTTTGAAGAAGGATAGCTCAAGAACCGGTTGACGGATTGTTGTTATTTTTGGTATCTCGGTAGCTTAAGTGATGCTTGACCTAATTAGATGACGATTATGCAAATCATGATCTAATTTACATAATTAATGACAGAAGTCTATATATTTGCTGGGTTCTGTGATAAAACAATTAAAATGGTGATGAGGAAATGCTAGAATAGCCCTCTTTGTTTAAGATAAGACTGTCATTGGATGGAAAATATGATCAAAGGATATAATTGCAAGTGAGGATATTATTTCCATAATCAATGTGAAACATTCATAATTTGTCAGTCGTAAAGGTTAACATCATTTGTCGAAGGCATGAGGTCTTGGAACTCTAGTTGTAACAGTGAAGCCCCAGTGTCACACATTCAGAACCCCCACCCCCCGAACTGAAGTTTGGGAGGAGCAATCTTTCTAATCGAATCGAAATGGGGTCAAATTTGGGTTAAATTTCACGGCCTACCTACTACCAGCCAATCCTGGCCGAGCCTCTTGTAAACACCCGCCCGAATGTTTGAAACGTTAACGATTTTTTAAACTTAAGGCTGGCACAGCCGAACACAGTAGCCGACCTGGCCGAACACCAGCCGACCTTGCCCCAGACCTACTCCTTTAAACCACGGCGGTAGTTCGGCTATGTTCGGTAGACCATATCCGGCTTTGCGTGACAGGGACTTTTCAAGAACTCGGAGTAGGAGTGACATGGTGCGTTTGATTGAAAATGCGAGCACACGAAGCCACGTAACTTCACTAGAATATCCCTTGATTTCAGACTTCAGGGAAGTATCAGTATGTAATTCTCGACTCCCCCCCCCCATCATCCACCAATTCCTGATAGCTTCCGGGCTTCGTCAGATAGATAAGTTGATCACAGAAGTCTTACCGTAAAGGTAACACAAAGCCACGCCTATAAATGTTATGCTTGTTGTGGGTAGCCTTTCCACTCTTTCCACTCTATGTCTGTAACGTTTAACACTATCGTGGAGTTGTCGTTTTGAGACCTTAGAAACAATAAGTCTCGAAACGACCACTTTTCCTCACCTTTAGTCGTCACGGTCACCACAAAACGTGAAAAAATCAGCCTTAAGGTGGGTCTGAATGGCAGGTATTCATTCACTCCCAGTCAACAACTACGGCTGACCCTGACCTCCGAACTGGGGTGACGAAACGGATCTGTTGACATTTTGCCAGGGCGTCTGGTTACATCAGGTGCATTCAACTGCAGCGTATAAGGTCTCATTCATGAGTTTTTTTCCATACATTAGAAACCATGCATTAATGAGTGACTTACGAGACCGTGTTCCCTATGATCCTACAACAAATCAATTGATATCTTTCATGCTATGTTAAGCACACTTACTCTACGTCTCATAAAAAAATTGCCAACGACTTCTATACACACAAACCCCTTTTATGGGAATTACAAACTGCAACTAGCGGCTGCCCGCAAGAGGCCCTCCCGCGCTGCAAACCTACGACCGCACAACTCACAACACTGGACTGTGCACGTCCGACCTAGCGCGCGGCTGCCGACAATTATGTCCTAATTTCATCAGTTACAAACAAGCTTTCACCGCTTTGACGTTTTACATCAGTTGGGATGGCTAAAGGGAAAATTCTCACCAATAAAAACACTCATTCATACAGCCGTTTAGTTTTTGACTTGGTACTCTTTTAGGTACACTCGGAGTAATACATGAATGAGACCATAAGTGGCTAAACTTCTTTTCTAAAGGGCTACATGTACTAAATCTCTGCTGACTAACGCAAAAACTATAATGTCTAAATTTGTAGTTTATAGTAAAAAAAACAATAACCTGTCTACAGTAGTTATGTTACTAATTGTTAGCGCAGACGTTACGCTTGACTACTCTCCCCTCTCCCCACCGACCCAAGGTTGTAAACAACTGCAAGACCTCTTGGCAAACATAAAGGACGGTAGGATCTTGTCTCGAGATTTACCGTTGACAAGCTTATTGGTGTGTGTGTGTGTGTGTTTGTGTGTGATGTATGTGTGTCTGTGCGTTGTGTGTGTCGTGCGTGTGTGCATGTGTGCGAATGAATGAATGAAACTTTATTTCCGTGTCGTGCGCTATCCGGCGCCCAGCCCGTGTGGGCTTATACGACACCGTTTCAATAAGTTATACATAAACAAAAGAGAATCAAAGGTACAGATAACAGAATCCAAACAAAATATGAACACAAATAAAGGTAGGCTATATACAATAATGGTGAACAAATAAGTGAACTCATAACAGATCGTAATTGCAAATAAACAAATCTGTACATAATGAACCAAGATCTCACAAAATAAGTACAGGTACATAAGGTAAATCAAACATAATAAGAGAATAAAATGTGTGTGTGTGTGTGTGTGTGTGTGTGTGCGCGCGCGCGCGCGTGTCCGTCTGTGTATGTGGATGTAAACATCGATAAGGTTTGGATGGATTATATTGATCTAGTAGGTTGGCTGGTCTTGAGACAAATAAATTAGATTTTGGGCTTCCTGACGGGATATAATTATATAATGGCACGCAGACAGAAAAAAAGTAGTATAAGTTACTTTTATTGGGTTGATTGAAAATATACAGCAAATTGCACTGTGTATTAATAAGGCCACCGAAATGATCATAAAAATTCATGAGGCAACAATTTGCAACATATTTTCTATAATTTAGCCTGCATTAAATCCATACAGTTAATTTCTCATATATCTAAATGACATCTTAAAATCTATTACGTGCATTATATCTCTGCTTGACATTTTTTTCAGAATTGTATGAACTCAGCAACTCATAATCTGAACAAATCATGGAAATTTATGTGCAATTAAACTTTAATTGAAAAATCTTTATGTGATTGTTATTTACTTCCACTTTGAACATATTTGTGCCATTATCTCACATATATAACATTTATGGTTGGCGATAAAACAATCCACACCAGGCGCACTCAGTTTGTGGTGCCACCACAAACTACCAGTGTAAACAAACATGGCTGACATCTGTGTTTCTAGCTTTTAAACATACTCATAAGTTACATAATGCTACTGTTACATAATGCAGCTTTGATACAAAACCAGTTTTGTGCATGTATACTATTAAACATGCTCTACTATACTCAGCTCGAAATTAATTTTAAAGGTGGTCAAAAAACTTGACACTCTGTTTCATATATAAAGTGCTGAGTACTACATGTAGGCATAGCAAAATGTACCATTGATACATGTACATATACATGTGTATGAACAGACTCCAGTTAAAACCTACAACCTCCAAAGAAAGACTTCTACCCATTAGACTAGTGTTTTCGACACCTACATGTACATGTAGTTAATTTTTTACTTACTTTTTTACTTTGTACTGTATAAAATGCCCTCCTTCTGTACCAATACACCCTGATTTTCCCATCACCATGTCAAATTTAGAGTTTAAAAATACCAAATGTAACAAACACCTAAAACTATTAGAAATTCTAATGATCACACAAATAACAATTTCTGTGTTTTGCTGAGGTCACATTTCCAAACCAGGGCCCAGCCGGGCTGTTTTGAGTAACGACAAATCAACAATTTATATCAATAATATAAGCAAATAGTTCCCATTATGAACTCTTTCAACTTATTTGTGCTTTGTTCTCCTTTATATCATACTTTATGTTCCATTAGACTCCCCGGCTGGGCCCTGGTTAGGAAATGTGACCTCAGCATTACAGGACTTGGGGTAATTTTTTCTTTATCAAATGAGGCTTGGAATAAAAAGAAGAATTGGAATGAAAATCTCAATGACAGAGACAAGTCTTCATTGGTCCTTCTTGGTTTTGTTGGTCAGCTGATCCCAGTCTGACCAATAGCGGTCCTTGATACGGTTGCAGTAGGCCAGCAGGTTGGGACAGTCCACAGTGACTATCCTGTGCAGGTAGGACCCGGATGTTGCCCAAACAATCTCTGACAGCTGACCGAAAACTGCTGCATCCACCTCAGTAGGCTCCTCTCCCATCAGATAGGGTTTGGTACCTGAAAAAAACAAAAAGAAATAGATAAGGCCACAGCAAGTAATTTTTATGGATGACATCAGCGCACACATTAATTTTTGCCTCAGATTTTAGAAAAACAAGAAATTTGGTTTTCCTCTGACAGAATTCTTTTCCTCCTTCTGTGCAGAATTCTGCAGAATTGGGTTAATCCCCAAGGGGTTCTCAATGACTGCTATGTATACATATGTCTTACATTACTTTATTATTACTTACAGTTTACAATATATTAGCCCATCTAGACTTAAGGTTGTTGAGAAATGGGAATTAGTCCGGAATTAAACTGGAATTAAACTGGAGGCTGTTAGGCCAAACCGACTTAATTTTATGGATGACATCCTTTGAAGACCCCCAAACTAGTGCGCACGGGCGAATTAAAAAAAAATTTGGCCAAAAAAAAAATTGCTACTAAACCACAGGAATTCAAAGCTGGTATTGTGAATTTGCGCCAACACATGGTGAAGTATACGACAAGCCAGCACATGCTGGCTTTTTGCGGAATTTATGAATCGAGTTCTTGAGTCGTGAAGCTTCGGTAGCCTGCGTGCCCAGCGTATTGTATTGTCGCTAACTACCATGGACTACCCAGGCCTAGAGCCAGGCCAGAGCTTCGCTGGATGTGACATTTTTTTTCTTTTTTTTTAAGAACAGGCGAAAATCAATGCGCGCGCGGATGTCATCCATAAAATTAAGTCGGTGTGGCCTTTTATGTATAAGAAGGCCCCACTTGTCAGAGAAGACAGCTTTGGGTCACATTGTCTGAGACAAGTTTGACTGTACGTGTAAGTTAGAGCATACCCAGAAAGTTTGAGATGGCCCTGAGATCTTTTTCGATGATGCCTCGGAGGTCATCCTTGGTGTGGCGCCCGATGCCGTGAGCCCACAGGGTCTTCTTGATCTTGCCCTTGGCTGACCTTATCAGGAACATGACGAACCAGGGAAGCTCAAACAGGTCCTGCAACTTGTCAAAGTTTTCTATCCACCTGTCCTCAACCAGACCCCTACACAGTAAAGAAACACAACAATGTTTATTGGTACAACAAAAGTACAGCAACTACGTAGGTATCTGATACCAGCCCAGAAAAGAACAAGAAACAGTCATACTTTCAAATGTCAGAGTTATCAACCAAGAATTGAGGTGTGAAAAAACTGGTATTTCCCCAGAAAAATCGTAGACTGGAACTCGTTGCCACCAAGCACAGTTGGCGCATCCTCACTAGAAAGCTTTAAACAAGTCCTGTGCAAAGATTGAGTGTAACAAGTCGTTCGATGTGATATAGCTAGCTGCCGCCACGCCGCATGCCTGCGAAGCTGGTGTGTAATGCCAAAGGGTGGCTGTACCAGGTATACTGATACAGATAATTAGTTATAGACAAATAAAAGTGGATACAAATGAATTAACCTAGTAGTTCGTACAAGTATACAATGTATGTTGAGTTTGACATGTCATGTTACTTATACATAGTCTAATACTAGTTCTAAACATTCTAAGTGATGGAGGTGCCTAAACAATATACCTCCATCACACAAGACCTTAATGTATATTTGTACAGTAAATATTGCAACTTCAAATCTGAATCTTTACAAACTGGGGAGGAGTAATAAAATGAAAACAATCACAGGTACATGTATCTGTATAGGACGTGGGTGTGGGTTTGAAAGCACAACATAAACTGAAAATTTGATTTAAAAAATGACATGGCACTAACTACACAAATATTACCAGGCTATTTAAAAGCTGAGATTCATTGTGAAATGAGTAAAGAAAAGAAAAAAGGAAAACTTTTTGCTGCTTCAACCTGAACTCACTTTGGGTCAATATTTCAGTGCATGAGGCATTGTGGCATTTTAAGGCATTGGGGGTATAGTTACATGTATCAATTTCCATCAAAACTCACCAAAGTCATTTCCTTGAAAATCAGAAACAATTAAGAAAGAGAGTGAAGGAAAAACCATGGACATAACATAACATCATCTTTAGGACTCTATCCTTTGCTTTAAAGACCCAAGAGCAGAAGCAATTATCCCTGATCTGATATAATTTTCCTGAATCTATTAGTATAGTACCAGTAAGTGTTCTCCTCCACCATCTTAGTGAAGGCCCTGCTGACAGCCTTGTCTGCAGCACTCAGGGACTGGTTCAGGTCCACACCTTTCTCCCTGTTCAGAAACTCCAGGATGAGACCAGAGTCTCCCATGGCTTCACCGTTGTACTCAATCCACGGGATTTTACCCTGAGAATGGCAACGTTCAGATGATCACTTGACAATAATTAACATTAATAACAATAATTCATCCTTTTTTCAGTATTCTGCAATATTAGCAGAATGTCAAAAATTTTTTCTGCAATTTGGATCATCTAGACCCATGGCATATACAAAATTGCATGTTGGCAAACATTTTATAATGGAATTTGAAAAATACATGCAAAACTACTTGTATATTACAGAGTCTCATACAATACTCATTTACACCTGTGCTAAGTGAGGAAAGTCGTGTAAAGTGCCTTTCCCAAGGGCACAAGGCGGGTGGCATGTCAGGACTCGAACCCGGGAGTACTAGTAGTAGTAAACACAAAATATCTCAGCAAAATGCAGACTGCAGATGGTTACTGAGTATTTCTAAATACTGTAATTAAACTTAGGTGTATACAAACCTTTGGGCCCATACTCCTCCCATACATGTGCTCGAATGGAATATCAGCCATACGCAGATATGTCTCCAGCTTCATACCAAATGGAGTCAGACATGGGATCGCCTTTACAGGTGGCGGTGCGTGTAAATACACTTTTCCTGCATTGGAAGTATTGAAAGTTAATTTAGAATAGAAACCAACACAATAAAATCGCAAAAGTTTAACTCTATGTAATATGACATTGTGAATATGCTTCAATTGTGTTATTAATTTGACAGAATTGTTTCAACCTAATAGAAAATCACTGAAAACCTAAGTCAACATCTGTTTAATCGCTACATGCACTGACTGCATGTGTGACCCTGCCAAAACAATTTTCCTGATAGTGATATCTATCGTAGACTGAACTGCCAAAGAAAGAAGAAAAGATATATAATATACATAGCAAAATTGATTTTTAGCACATGGCTGCAAATAGGCTTCTCTACAGTTTGTCAAAAAGTTTCTGTTGTCCCCAAAGTTAAGTTTGCAGCACACAAAATTTGAGCAAGGGGGCACATTAAAAACTGGAAGAGTCTTATTCAATTCATTCATGGTGATTATGAATATGATTTATACTAAATTAACAGGTCACACACTGAGGAATGCCTATTGATGAGTTTATACAAGGAAATTTAACAAATCCAATGAGAATTCTAAATACTAAAATAGTCATACTTAAATTGGGACTCACAAACTTTCAAAGAACAGCTACCTGATGCAATTGAACTGAGACCTGTAAGTCCCCCATGCTACCCAGCCAGATTCCGTGATTTCATTGAACTTCAACTCCTTTCCTGTGACCTTTTGACCTTTCATTCTGTCAATCTTTCACCACCCACGTGATGTCAACCTACTCTGTCCTGACGAGTACTAGTATACACACAAACCTACTAGTACTTATAGTTACAACATTCCCAAAACACTACAATGTAGCGTTACTTCCATACCCGGAAGTAGTAGCATTACGTCACGTACGTACGCACTATGCACATACGGTAACCCAGGGTGTCCGCGGAGTTCAGACCACGCCCCCTGCATACATAATTCAATAGGTAAGCTTTACCTGGGGTAAACTCTGCCCTCAACTTGACCTTGTTTCTCCTCTGTCCCCCGCAGCAGCTCCACAACACCGCCCCGACTAACAGCGCAGAGGCGCCGACAAGAACACCCTGGCCGGGAGAGAGTTGGGTGGGGTCTGTCAACAACTGCACGACTGAAGTCTGGAGGTACTCTAAGAGGCCCGCTGGCGACGCCTGGAATCCTAGAGACATTTGGAATACCCTGTCTTTTGATGACTTTAAAAAGTACTAAAACTACGTCCAAAGTAACAGTGAAATTGGCGAAAATTGACCTCAGCACAGAACAACTGTGTAATGCTGACTCGTTGGTGTTGGTGCAAGTAGGTCAGTGTCAGGGGTCAACTTTTAGCATCTCCGCCTTGCGGTTTGACGTGGACCTGCACTGGTCGCTCAGTCACCTCTCCCGTTCTCCCCCTTCGACCAAGAAGGTTTACATTGAAACCTCCTCGCTTTCACCAACTTGTAGATTTCGAAGAATGGTCAAAGATAAAGGAGAAGATTGTTTTTGACATAATCAAATTAGGTGACGTTTCCGCCACGGTCTCATCGATTCATATGCGTAAAAACAAAACAAATGAAAATTAATTTGACATGGTCATTGAACATGTGCTGTTTATTGTTCATAAAGATATGTGCCTCTAAACTTTGTACAATGACACAATAGGTTAATTTTCATCGGGACTGTTTTGTTTTATAGTGACATGAAATAAAGCTAACAATAATTCTAAACATTAAAATCATTTACGAGTTATGTCCTTCTTTGACCCACAGAATCTTTGTCAGACTTAGTAACCCGTCTTCATAGTGATAATGGTAGCATGTTGTGAATAGCCAAGCGTTGTTAATTTATGGTAAGGACATATGGTTCTACAATTTGCTATATCATTAAAACTACATTTACATAGTAATTACCCAGAACATTGTATCTTCTAGTAAAAGTATGTTGCTAATCCCATTGAAAACGATCCTCATTTTACCACATGCCCTTTTGCAGTTCGTTATTATCTTCGCCAGAAAGCTATGTTTTTGGTTGCGTTTGTATGTGACTGTGTATGTATGTGTGTGTGTGTGTGTGTGTGTGTGTGTGTGTGTGTGTGTGTGTGTGTGTGTGTGTGTGTGTGTGTTTGTATATGCGTCGTCGTTTAGCATCGTATAACTCAAGAAGCTATTGGTGGATTGTCATGAAACTTGGTAGGTGAGTAGGTCTTGGCGACGCCTCAACATTATTAGATTTTGGGCTCCGTAGGCGTCACAGCATGCTTGCCATTGTTACTGCAGCGTAACTTCCGATTTTCATATCTCATATGATCTGAACGTGGTAGCTATAGGGTAGCTATTGGATGGTAGATAGCTCTTATTTGATTAATTGTGGAGTTTAGTCTCTACTTGTATGTAAAACCGCTATACTGTGTCGGTTGGTCGATGTTTCCGGGCAGTGTCGTGGTGGAGTCAGGGCTGGAAGCGGCGGTCTTCTTCAGCCGGACAATCCAGTACACCGAGAGAACAGCGAAGATGGCGAACCCGATACTCGGCCACAGCATGCCGTGAAACATGGCGTCCCACGAAAACAGTCTCCCTAGTATGACGAACTGGAAGGTGGAAAATTAAAGCGATATTATGTAAGATTTTTGCGAAAAAATTGTAAATATGATTTATAAGTAATCAAATTTTCTCATTTTGATAGTCATTTTCAATGACTTCCAACATACTAAGGTCCCTATTTCGCTTTTCTGGCGACTCAGTGCAGAGCGAGAACAAGCATGCGCCATTCCCCGCTGCATTTTTAGGGGGCTCCTAAAAAGAATGTAATGAAACAGCGGAGGAGTTGGCAGTTTTCCAACACGTTTTTGTGGCGTAATGACGTTAAATTTTTACTCCCCAAATGTCAACATGAACCCAGCCAGGTAGGCTTATAGCAGAAACAATGTGTAAAACAAACAAACAAACAAACAAAAATTATGATAATATCGCTTTAAGGTTTAGGGAATTGAAAGCATTACATAACAGGTGTGTTTCCAGGTCCTTTAATCCCCGGACACGTATATATTTGCTGCCGACACAACCCCACCCCCAACCATTTGGGGAGTGGGTTGTGGTTGGTTGTGGTCGGGCTACAATTCGGCTGCTCCAGCCGAATGTTTCAAAATGTTATAAAACCGACATTCAGGTGTGGGTGGGAGGTTCGGCTATGATTGGCTGGTATTTGGGAATAGGTCAAGAGTGGTCGGGACCAGGCCTGGTCGGGACGTGGTCGACTCAAATTTGATTCGATTCGTAACGAAAGGTTATAGTCGTGGTCAAATTCTGTCAAATTAAACTTCTCCCGAACTTCAACCAACCCCGTGTTCGGGGTAAGTTTTGAATGGGCCATTAAGCTTTACTAAATGAAAATGCATCTAATACTTACGTCTGGGTCCTTCGGATTGTACAGACAGTTGTACGTTTGCCCTACGCCGTAGGTGGCGTTAAAACTCGCAAACGCGTCCTTTCCATGATCTCTGTCACAGGGTCTTGTAGCGCACTGAAGGTCCTGGGGAAAAACGATGACACACATCATGTCAATGTTTCCTTGAATTTGAATGCTGATTTTTTTTATGTGATCATGATTTTATCATTATGTTTACCGAAGGAAAACATATTGTTTTTGCTACTTTTCCCATTCCTGTCTTATGGCAAAAAGGTCAAAGACCTGAACCAGACTGTCTGTTACCATCGTAACTAGTGTTGGGTTACATCATAAAAAGTCAAGAATCATACAATTTAAAGGGTTGTATGCCAAAGTAATGACCTCTGACCTCTCCCGCGGCTCGCCCCGTGTTCAGACCGCCCTCGGTGTCGAACATGACAGCCTGGCGCGCCGTGCCGTTCCCTCCTGATGCCGGCACGTACTGCACCAGGTACCGGTAACACGGGTACCACGAGTGGCAGTTCTTCCCGCAATTGCACCCTGGAGTCTTCCCTGTCCATGGAAATTATACATAGCTTTTAACACAAAAATATCAAGCAATTTGATAAATTATCTAAAGGTTCTGGCTTTCGTAAAGCCAACTTTTTTCCTACCTACCTAGAGGTACTCCTAAAGCGTCGGTCACAACCCTCCGTACGCGTTATTGCGTGCTGTCTACGTGCAAAAACGTGGACAAATTTTGGGGATCCGTAAGTGGTGCGTATACCACCTCCGTACGGAATCCAGAGGATTTGGGAGCACGCAGACACGACCTATAGCTAGCACTTTAAGTGCATGCAAAACTTTCTCTGCGTGCGAGCTGCGGATTCACAGCCCGTACGTGCGAGTACGGGCGACGCGCGTGCCCCGTACGTACCGGCATGTACCGTACGTAAGCAGCACGTGTAAGTACGGTCTGCATACGGTAAAGCGGCCAGATGTGGCCGGCGTGCAGATGACATACTAACACCTTTCGCAACCGTGTGAGTGACGTGCGTTAACGTACTGCTCATGCCAGTTCTTCCCCACGTTTTCAGAAAAACGTAGCAGACGTGGCCTCCCAAAAAACGTACGGACAAAAAGCACGCGCGGCGGGTTGTAACCAACTTAAGCATGGTTGGTTCGACCATGGTTCGACCAGTCTTCATGACAAGGCGTAAAGAAGAAGTACGAAGGCCCACAACGTTAACGACAGTTCCATACACCTCTTCCACAGCCCTGCCACACCGAGCTTCCAAGGGATATACCTTCCATACCGCTCTTCCGCGGCCCTTCCACACCGCGCTGCCAAGGGCCGCAGAGGAGGTGTATGGACAGTATATCCCCTGGAAGCGCGGTGTGGCAGGGCTATGGAAGAGGTGTATGGAAGTATCGTTGTGGGCCTTCGTAAAGAAGAAAGAGGCAACTCACCTGTCCAGTAGATCTTGAAGGTTGTACAGTTGGCTGCCTGGAATGACAGTGAGTCCGTCTCTACCACAGGCTTAGCGATAACGACTCCCACAACAACAACGGCTACAAAACAACAGGCTGCCAGAGTCACCGAAATGCTGATCCACCAGATTATCTTACAACTTTCCGGGTCGCGGGCTGGTTCATTTGCCGCCATCGCTTTCTTCTGCAAGGAAGACATTAGAGAAAAAAGCAGAATAACAATTGGACAGCTAACACAGGTTTTTGCTATTTTCAGACAAAAATGTACACTTTTGGCTCTGGTACCCTAACGTAGAACCAAATGACCCGACTAACACTGTTACTAAAAGGCTCTAATTTGGGGTTTTGTAAATACTTGTTGAAAAGAACTATATTGGTGTTCATTGACACTAAAAAGCACTGTATGGGGGTTTCGAGAACAATTGTTACGAACTTTGAAACATTCAATATATACTGGATAGAAAGGTTGATATAGAACAGTCCGTTTTGGAATGGGGAGGGAAGTGGACTGGAATATGCTGTATTTGCTACCAAGCAAATGTCGGCCTTTCTTGTTAACTGCCAATGAACCACGTTGTTTCGTCAGTATACAAATTTGTCTAGGGTTTACCGTGTGGCCTGTCTAATTTACACAGAGCTTGTCCCGTGACAAAGTCTTTGTTTGCTAGGTTAATAGACTATACTAGTATCTAAGTTAAACATTGTCCTACCCTAACCCTTTCTATATATCAAGTTTACGTTATAATAACCATTGTTTTTCTCACCTACAAAGACTATAACCCTCCTCGCAGCGGCTGTAGTACGTGTAGCGATCGGGAAATGTTGTTCTGGTAGTTCGTATTTGTGCATGTACTGTACATACTACTGGAGTAGAACGTGCTCGTACATGTATATAATGTCGGTACAGGTCGACAACATGTTAGTGGTGCCAAAGTTCACCTTGTTGTGTGTTATGTGGTATGTGTTACAATGCACGTTAAAATTAATCCGATAAAAATAATCCAATTACATGGCAGCAAAAAAACACACAACCTTTTCTGATAAATATGTCTGATAGCATACTGTCAATATTGTATGGCTTAGAATAGACGTGTAGAGTATATTTTAACTTATAGCATAAATAGTTGGTAGTCTTATGACACTTCGCCTTACATTGTACCTGCCATGCTTGAGCAACAAACGTTGACTTGACCGTAGTATAGTTCGCCTTTTTCTTTTTAAAGCATACGAGAAAAGAATTACCTTCTTAACAATTACCTTCTTAACAATTACCTTCTTAAGAAAAGAATTACCCTAAAAAATCACTCAAACTATGGACTAGGTTGGCAAACATTAACTAGAGGCATAATGGCATGATAACTATGTTCCATGGCCCAAGTTATGACGTTTGGTTTTAGCACAGAAATAGAACCACTTACTTGTAATGTGTGTTTATATGCTGAGACACTGGAAGTAGTAAGAACGGCTACGTAAAGAGGCCAATCGTCCTTCTATCCGCCGAACCTTGGTGATATATGCTTAACTATAGCTACAGAGGGGAGCAGGCGCGGAGCTTACGTACGAATGAAGCCAAACTTGACCGGCAGAACGGCTTGCCTGTTACCGGTTCGGTAAATATTAACCAGCCGGGAGGATACAGAAAAGGTTGTCAGGTGAGCGCCTAGAGCCTCAGCTATGGCAAATGTTTTCAGCCATTCAGAAGTACAGAAATAGAATCACTTACGTTTAATGCACTTTTAAAGGCAGACTCAATGGTAGAAGCGACCAAAAAAAAGTCGTTATTTTATTAATTTGACATTGAGTTTGGACTATGCAGCAGTTATATTATACGACATCAATCAAGGGTTAATGACCCGCCCTGAGGCTATAAGATAATAACGTTATAAGGCCTAGCTGGTCATTTCTTTAAACCACCGAGTGAGCGCTAGCGTACTAGCCGGTTGAGGTGGTTATAGGAATGACCAGGCCTTATGACGTCGTAACCAATAAAACCGCCTTAAACCGCGTCATAACCAATAGGAAATAAGGACCTCTGATTTGGCAACGTCATCTGGCTATATTATAGTAAACTTCAGCCAGGTACGTGAAACATATTTTTTTAGCAAAAAATCAATTGGACAAACTTCAAAGCGGGAGCTCTTAATAAGTCTTTTCTTCATCTTGATTTTTTTTTGCAACGTGTTTCTGGATACTTGGTCAATTCACAACCATACCAACTTTAATATTTTGGTCCATACCGTAGGTATGACATATTCCCACTACAGACATACATGTATACCTGTAGGGGAAAGAATTTGTAACCACTGTATGTCAAAAAGTGTGGAAGACGATATCCACTTTATCTCCAACTGCCCCTTTAACGATTAGGAAGGAAAAGAGCAAACAAGACTCACCATAATTTCCAAACGTATAATACCAAAAAAGTCTTTGAAGAAAAGTGAAGAAACCTTACTGTCTTTTGTATCTTTGTGTCGATGTATGTACACCACAAGTACACTTACTCGGGAGTAATCTTTACTCCGAAGGTTAAAATATAATATATATGATGTATCTACACATGATTGCTGTAAGGATACACAATGAGAAAAAACATTGCATCTATATGCTCCATGCTACAAATAGCAACAAATATACATATACATTGTAAATACAGTTGTATATATATAAAAAACAACTAAACAGATAAGGCACAACCATGCATCTCCCGGAATGTAGACCCCACCAAAATCTTAGCAAGGACGTTGGTCTTAGTTATGGCATACATTAAAACATTTGATTGTATTTCAGTTTTTACCTAAGCTATTACCTAAAATCTAGCATAATTTTTGCATACATTTGCATATATCTGCTCTTAGCAAAATGACAGTGACCCCTGACCTTTGACCGAGCCTGAATAATATGATGGATACTGTCGATACTATACTACTCATTTCATCTTCCAAACCTTCAAAAAAAAAGTCAAACTAAAAAAAATATAGATTTTATCCCAGTCTGTATACTCTATACTGACTATACAGTGTATTGTTGCCCAGTAGGCATGAATTTGCAAATAAACTTTATATATTTATTATTCTAGTATATATTCTAGTCTATATATTTATTATTCTAGTAAGTAGAATCAATCCTATCCCATAGTATACCAAAACAAATATTGGAATGAAAATCTCAATGACAGAGGCAAGTCTTCATTGGTCCTTCTTGGTTTTGTTGGTCAGCTGATCCCAGTCTGACCAATAGCGGTCCTTGATACGGTTGCAGTAGGCCAGCAGGTTGGGACAGTCCACAGTGACAATCCTGTGCAGGTAGGACCCGGATGTTGTCCAAACAATCTCTGACAGCTGACCGAACACTGCTGCATCCACCTCAGTAGGCTGTTCTCCCATCAGATACGGTTTGGTACCTGACAAAGACAAACAAGACTGGCAATGAAAAAAAAATTACCATGGCGACAGTGGTTGCTGTTAGGGTTATTGTTTGCATGGCACTGCCGTCATTTCATGATTTTGAGGATACTTGGTACCTGTTAAGTCTAGATAGATACATCAACCCTACCCTTCCCTGAGTGTATAGTGAATGGCGTCACAGAAAGTAGGGCATCTGGGGCATCTAGGTTTTCCGAAGGGTTTCCTGGAATGTGGGCATAAATGTAGGCCAGCAAACAGAGCTGGGAGGCACTCCTGTGGACATTCCATGCCTGTGGATAAAATTCCTGTACAATTCCTAGAATTCTTGCAAACTGCACACAATACTGTACCATTAGGCTCCACCCTGAGATGTCGCCAAAAAAATGTACCAATTGTAATGCATTGTCTTAAAGGAGCATTCGGTTCCATTTTTCCACCCAAAATTGAAATATTTTAAGCAAAAAAAAATTTCTGTGATTGTAATTTACTTTGACTTTTCAACATACATATATTTCAGCAATTATCTCACGTTAATGGTTGGCGTTGAAACAGCCCACATGAGCACTAAGATTGTGGTACCACCACAAAATACCAGGAGGAAAACATGCCACATTAATGCATGGTTATCCATAAGGTTCCAAGAGTTATGCATAAAACTTCCTATAGTTATGCATACTTGTTCATAAGGCTTGTCTTTAAACCTTATGCATGGCACTTAGAAATATCATGCATAATCATGCAAAACACTTGACAAGAAGACCACTTGTATAAGACGACCACTTCTATAAGAAGACCACTTGTATAACAGGACCACTTGTGTAAGAAGACCACTTGTGTAAGAAGACCACTTCTATAAGAAGACCACCACTCTCCCTCAGTTTCCTGCTTAGTTGTCTTTGAGACAAGTTTGACTGTACTTGTAAGTTAGAGCATACCCAGAAAACTTGAGATGGCCCTGAGATCTTTCTCGATGATGCCTTGGAGTTCGTCCCTGGAGTGGCGACCGATGCCGTGGGCCCACATCGTCTGCTTGACTTTGCTTCTCACTCCTCGCAGGAAAAACACGAAGGCCCAGGGAGCCTCACACAGCTCCTGCACTTTGTCAAAGTCATCTATCCACCTCACCTCAGCCATACCCCTGCACAGCAAAAATACACAATAAAGTACAGCGACTTTTGTAAGGTCTTTCACTGTGCAACATACAAACAAAAGTGGATACAAATGAATTAACCTAGACATACAAGTACTATATGAGTAAAGCAATATGTTGAGTTGAATGTATCATTTATATGACTATAAGGTTTAAACATTCTTTGACAGATTTACGTAGTACATGTATTTGTACACAGTAGAAGTCTCCTTCTAGAAGGTAATAGAATTTATCTAATATTAGCATGGATAGTATAAAATTCTATTAAGTAAGTGGAAAGCGTTTAGCATCATATTGTGAACAACATGAAACAAAAAACATTTTGTGTATGGAGATTTGGCCATGGTTGGCTGGTATAATTGGCAGTAGGTCAGCAGTGTTCAAAGTGCGCTTGGGGTCAAAATTCAAGTTGATTCATAAAGAAAATTTAGGCATGGCCTGAATCTGGTCAGACTGCTCCCAAACTTCAGCCAACCTTGGGTGTTTGGTTTTGGGGGCAAAGGTTCTGAATGTGTGACATAAATTGGGTAGGGACCATTGCAATGAAACAGTTAACTAGTGTTAAAATACTCATCTGCAGTCTCCATTTTGCAGAGAAATTTTCAATATTGCAGAAGAAGATTTAAGCAACCTGCAATTTTGCAGACTGAAAAAAAATCAGACTTGGGTGTTCAATTGTGTTGGTATAGTATTGTTTTAGAGCTTTTGTGTTTACAACTGAATTAATGATATACTAATAATCATGTAATATGTATTTTTCTATGTAACAATTTTTACCCACTACAATCACAACAGCTTCTTCTGTGAAATGTTTGCTAACATGCAATTTTGTATGGGTTTTAAGGCTTAAGGCTTATAAGTGTATATTTGCAGAAAGTATTTCCAAATTCCAGAACAAAATTTTGACATTCTACAATATCGCAGAACACTGAAAAAAGGATTTCTAACACTGCCTAACATTAGTCTCTACCAGACTAACTACGCTGGCTATATATAGGAGAATGTTTGCCAGGGGAGTTTGGCCGCCTTGTTATAGGTTTGACTGGCCGCGCAGTTAGGGAAAGAAACTACCTCCCCGCGGCCGGACACCCCTGGCCAATTTTACTCTCTCTTTTGCCAAATTCTATGATCCGGCTGTATTCCTGTAGAAAGGCCTGGTGGAGGCTATGCCTAACATACCAGTAAGTGTTCTCCTCCACCATCTTAGTGAAGGCCCTGCTGACAGCCTTGTCTGCAGCACTCAGGGACTGGTTCAGGTCCACACCTTTCTCCCTGTTCAGAAACTCCAGGATGAGACCAGAGTCTCCCATGGCTTCACCGTTGTACTCAATCCACGGGATTTTACCCTGAGAATGGCAAGGTTTATAGGTCTAGCTCAACAATACTCTATCGAAAACATCAAAAGTAATCATTAAAGACTGAAAACAAAAGTTGAGTCACAGCAGTTTGAATCACCACTCAGAGCTAAATTAATCTGTTAGTACAACCTGTGATACATGTTCTGAACTGCAGTGTCATACATGTAAAGCATTAAAAGATAGTTGTTGCTTTTTTGGCTAGTAACTTTACAGACTATTTTAATGAAGTCATTAGCTTACAGTGCCAGTAATGTGACTGAATGTTTAACTTTCAGGATACATTGGGCGTTGTTAAAGCAATAGACTGTCTGCTGGTATAGGATGAGGTCTATTGCTTTAACCAGTAGATTTCCCTATCAAAAGCCCAATCAGCCACTGGATCTCTACCTGTAGAATCACTGATACTACCAGATTGGAGTCTCTACCCTGACTTGTTGATGTACTATGATTGCCAGTTGAATGTGCTTAACACATCCAACTGGCAATCATTTAAATTTAAAAAGTTTCTATATATATCATCAAAAATCAAACACAAATCTAGTATCATTCCTGATTCCTTTCATTGCTGTGCTTGTGGATATTTGGAAGCTTAAGTGATACCACACACTACAAAACATGCTGCTATCAAACTTTTACAAAAAAATTCATACGAACCTTTGGGCCGTAACTGAACCCGCGCATAGGCTCGTATGGAATATCAGCCATACGCAGATATGTCTCCAGCTTTATACCAAACGGAGTCAGACATGGGATCGCCTTCACTGGTGGTAGTGTGTGGAAGTACACTTTTCCTGGATAAGAAAAAGTGAAGAATTAAAAATAAAAAAAATTAAATTACACAACTTTAAGGTATTTATACATACATGTGATCAATATGTTCCTGCCATTCTCAATAATACATGTCACAAGTATGAATAGTCATATCATTAAATGCAGCAGATTTAGAAAATTTCTGCATTCATTAATAATGCAAATTAGATCCTGATTTGAATACTTGTCATCTAATTATGTCAAGCATTACTCGAGTAACATGTACATACCAAACCAATCGAACTCAGATTCTTGCATCCCCCTTGAAATGTTTCTAAAAAAATGTCCCTGCAGTTCTTGAGCAAGCTGCTAGGGGACCCAAACTTATCTCATTAAAAAAAAAAAACTCAAGAAAAATGACGTCAAGAAAATATCAAGTTCCGCTGCAGTATCATACCATGCTCCCGTTACCCTCATGAAGGACCTTATATCACGTCACTAAATATTTCTAGGTTTTACGGTAACCCAGGGTGTCCGCGGAGTTCAGACCACGCCCCCTGAATGCATAATTCAAAAGATGAGCTTTACCTGGGGTAAACTCCGCCCTCAACTTGACCTTGTTTCTCCTCTGTCCCCCGCAGCAGCTCCACAACACCGCCCCGACTAACAGCGCAGAGGCGCCGACAAGAACACCCTGGCCGGGAGAGAGTTGGGTGGGGTCTGTCAACAACTGCACGATTGAAGTCTGGAGGTACTCCAACAGGCCACGAAAAGAAACCTGGACATTTTCGGCGGACATTTTGGAATCTTCTAGCTTTGAATAACTTGAAAAGTACGAAAATTACTTCAAAAGTAACACTGAACTTGATCAATGTGTCCTCTGTGTCATGGTCGAGACTGTCTCAGTCTTGTTGTGGTGGAAGGAGGTCAGGGGTCAACTTTTAGCGTCTTCTTTAGCCGCCTTGCGGTTCGATGTGGAACTGCATTGGTCGATCGGTCACCGTCACTACCCTAAGTACTAGTAGTACTACCCCCTCGCTCCGTCATTTTCCTCATTACAATCGCCAAGACGGTTATGTTTTTAGAGGCGTTGGTGTGTCTGTGTGTGTGTCTGTGTGTGTGTCTGTGTGTGAGTGTGTAAATACGATAACTCGAGAGAGCTTTAATGGATTGCCTTGATATTTGGTAGGTGGGTAGGTCTTAATGAGACCTCGAAATGATTAGATTTTGGGCCCCCTGGCGGCTTGTCATGGTCTTGCAGTGGAACTTCCGGTTTGATATTTCATGATCTAGACAAGCTTGGGACATGAAATTTAGATGATAGGTAGCTCTTGTGCCGGGGAAAAAGTGACGTTGAGCCCCCTTGCTCTGCATGCAGGGGAGTTTGTTGTTATTCAAGAAACGGTTGCTGGATCGTTGTCGTTTTTGGTATGTTGGTAGCTTAGGTGATACTTGACATAATTAGATGACAATTTTGCAAATCTGGATATAATTTACATAATCAATGAGGAAATTCTTTAAATCAGCTGCATTCCATAATAGGACTATTTAAGCTCGTTGCATATGTAATTCAGAACGACAGAAACGTTTGTCATTTCTTTAGAATTTAACTTTGGACTTGGTATTTTAACAGAAGCATAACATAATGTGGGCTCACTAGAACCATTGGAGAGGGGAGGCATGTTCTTTTTTAAGTATTGGACAGGGCTGTGTGGGTGTGGAAGAGTGATAAGCCTATCTTTGGTACGGGGGATGTGGTGAAGCTAGCCATTTGCTGCAATTGCCCCCGAGCAAATGTCTGCCTTTCTAGTTTGTAATAATAATTATTGTTCTCGCTTTCTTGTGATCTGCCTCCACAGAACTATAAATCAATCTCGGCGCTTGAAAGCAAGCGGGAATTAGAAATACCTTTAAGAGACCTCATCACATACTCGTGGGGAATAATTCACATATCTGCGAGAAGTAATTTACAACTGCCCCCCGTACACTGGCCTGGCACGCGCAGCCAGCTACCCGCTACTCACCTCATGTACATCATGTCAGGAAAGTGTTGCACACAATACCGTACCTCCCTCTTCAGCAATTTAGAAAAACTGGTAGGATTTGTCAGAAACCTCAATGATCAATGGGTGGGTGGATGGTTGGGTGGGTGGATGGATGGTTGGGTGGGGGGGTGGATGGTTGGGTGGGTGGGTCGGTGTATGGTTGTTTGGGTGGGTGAGTGGTTGGGGTGNGTGAGTGAGTGAGTGAGTGAGTGAGTGAGTGAGTGAGTGAGTGAGTGAGTGGGTCAGTGAGTGGGTTTGTGGGTGAGTTGGTGCACGTGGGTGGATGGTCAGGTGATCATGAGTGAGTGAGTGAGTGAGTGAGTGAGTGAGTGGGTGAGTGAGTAAATGAGAGCTCTAGTGAGTGAGTGAGTGAGTGAGTGGGTGAGTGAGTGAGTAAATGAGAGCTCTAGTGAGTGAGTGAGTGAGTGAGTGAGTGAGTGAGAGAGTGAGTGAGTGAGTGAGTGAGTGAGTGAGTGAGTGAGTGAGTGAGTGAGTGAGTGAGTGAGTGAGTTAGTAAATAGTACTTGTGCGTATCCGACGGGGACGTAAATATATTTAGTATGTGGTCCGTGGATGAGTGAGTGAGTGAGTATTTTGGCGTATATCTGCGAGTGTATGTGTATCAACAAAATACATATGAATCTTGAGTCACACTGTTTATAGCACGGCACAAAAATGTCCAATCTTACAAAGAATGTCTTACACCGCTTTTCAAACCGTCTGCCGCCCGCAAACGACATAGCTCACCGCCGCAACACATGCATATTGAGTTGCAGGTGTCTAATCTAGCCAAAATGTCTTATTACGTTTTGAAAATCTCACAAGAAAGTATTTAGGACACAACTTTCAAACGTTTTGCCACCCGCTAGTGGCATAGCCGAAGCTAATTTCCGTGTCGTAAACGGTCGATGCCATATCGCAGAATGGCTAACTTTAAGGGTATCAGCACGGTCCATCGACACTGTAATGTTTTGTGGCGTGGAGGTTTGGGTATAGGTTAGGGTAGAGCTAAACTTTTGGACCCGAGTTCGAATCCGAGCTTGTCCTTTTTGTTTTTTTTTTCACTAATATTTACAATTCTACATGGCCCTCCTGTATATTTGCAATTAGAATATTGCTTTTTATAATATATATTATTTTTTTCGTTTTTGGACCTAAAAAAAAGTTATGGTACGCTCGACCATTCAGCGAAATGGCATCGACCGTTTACGAGACGGAAAATTGCATGGCCAAACAGTATACTGACGTCATCAACTGTTGCCATGGCTACGAACGCTGAGAAAGTTCGGTGTGTCATAAACATGAGATCAGAAGCGCGCAGAACTCAGAAGTGACGACTTGCCGTTTTCCCGCTCCAACCCACACGCGATGCAAGAATGAGGGCAAGCGATTTTCGCCTCCTGACCTACCGGTAAGGTTTTATTTGATTTTGTTTTCTTTAAAGGCATCCAATTCAGTTTTTAGGGCTTGAAAACCCAATTTTTCGAGGTCAATATTCTAGTGACTTATCTCCATACAGAGCTGAAACCACACTATTCCAGTGTGAAATGACCCTCATGGAGCAAATATACCCAAAATTCTGACGGAAATGGTTACTGGAAGGGTCCTGGGCTGAAGGTACCTTCCCTAAAATAAAGGACTCATGTTGCGGCTTGTTTCTGCAGTTTTAAATACCCAAAGTGTGAAATACTGATTGAAATGTGCTAATGTGAAGCAGTATGACATCATACGAGCCTTATTCAGAATATTTTCAGTTTTGCTGCTCTAATATCGCATTGGGTGTCTTTAAAAGTTTGTTTCGTATAAGGCCACAGCAAGTAACTTTATGGATGGCATCCTCCCCAGACTTAAAATCTAATGCAATAGGGCGAAGAAAAACAAGACGGACAAAAAAAACATGTTTCCTACATGTACATGTTTAACTTTTGTTATACTTGTTATACTAGAATTGAGGCGACAAAACATGACAATACAAGATTCACCAGACCGCCTTGCCATCATTTTGCTGAGAAAATTGTTCTTTACTGGCGCTAAGTATTCCATCACTTCATCTTCAGTCTGACCAGGTCGGTCGCCGACCTAGCTTGGGAGCGAAGCCACCCGCCACCGACCGTTGGCCCGGGCGGGAACCAGGGCTACCCCGACCCGCCACCGACCGTTGTCTCAGGTGGGAACCAGGGCTACCCCGACCCGCCACCGACCGTTGGCCCGGGCGGGAACCAGGGCTACCCCGACCCGCCACCGACCGTGGGCTCGGGCGGGAACCAGGGCCGTAAACTGGGGTAAGATATATGCTTCTCTCTGTCGATGTCTCTCTCTGTCTCTTTTCTCTAAAATGGAGTCGACATATGATGACGTGATGACCTGTTTTTGTTACTGTTTTTTATTCGTTCATTTATTCATTCATTCCTTCTCATTGATATTGTTTTGAGTGACTTCTTTGACAGAAATTTGTATTTTTACTATTTTCATTATTTGTTTGATATGATTTGTCTGATCCCTGGACACTTCTCCCAGCTTGTACTTGACCTCCATGAAAAGCGACCTAAATGGCCGAATGGGGTAATAATCAAGTTGAAATAAAGCCACAAACAAACAAATAAATAAATAAACAAACAAAGCATTGTATCACCAACACCAAGTCTACGAAGGCTGCCTTATACATCAGCTTGACTAGTAAAACTGTTCAGGCCTCCGGGCGGGTGAGAGTTTTGATACTGAGTATTGTAGATTTTTTCACGCGTTCTTTTGCCGGCCTCCCAGACAAGGTTTCTACCAGCCGGCAAAAAAAACGCGTTGAAAATTCCACAAAACGCAGTATCAAAACTCCCACCCGCCCGGAGGCCTGCACAGGAGGCCAAGTAAAACCACACTAGCATTCAAGACATACCAAGATGTCTTCTTTTTTTTTCAAAATCGGGGAAATTCAATTCACGATTAAGGCCATCGATGATATTTACATCCTAAAGCCTTAAAAGCTTGTTACCATGTTTGTTATGTCAAAGAGACGTATTGCTAGAAGTCAACCTTTCGGATAGCGGCGGCGAACTGTTCTCTCAACGGACAAACTCCCTTGGTATGCTTATCTCTCTATTTTGGCCGAATTCTACTCTTTCCAGCCGCCTCCTCAAGCCTGGTAGAGGCTACCTTTCGGACACTCTTGATTTACATGTATAAAATTTGGTTTACTCCATTTGAGTCCTACCTGAACTGGCAAGGGGGTGGGGTTAGGACCTGCGATTTTAGTTATATTTAATTTGACCCAATTTTGTCTGTCTTATATTGTGTCCTAAGATTGTTTAGATTTAGTAGTTTTTTTTCTGTCTAGTTTATATCTCTGTTAATTATTTATATGTTCGACGGTGGCGCTTATATGTATATTTTTTTTAACTTGAGTGCATCACCATTGCTATCTTGTGTTTCTTTTCTCATGCTGTATTAGCGAGACTTATTTTGACCGGTCGTTCATTTTTTTTCTACGAATGGCACAAGATTCATTCATTTATTCAGTCATTTTCTTAAAAAATTCAGTCAGTCAGGTAGTCAATAGTTGCGATTTATTCATATTCATTTATTTTAGATGTGTTTTCAACATCGCATCTGGACCGTATAATTGCGATTTTTCCATCACATATCAACACATGGCACCGAAGAGAAATTATTAAAAATAGTTTTTTCCTATCTGTTTATTCCTATAGTTTTTTTTTTACCTTTTGGTGTAGCACTCGCTTCAGATATCATGATATTCATCTATTCATTAAATGCAGGTTAGGCCATAGCAAGTAATTTTTATGGATGACATCAGCGCGCGCATTAATTTTAGCCTGATTTGGATTTAAAATAACACAAGAAATTTCGTTGCCTTCTGACAGTGGTCAGTGGTCACCATGCCAAAAATGGGCAAAAATGTCTGTTGCCATGCCGGAAGGTGGATGGCAGATAACTATGAAGAGAGGAGACAAGAAAAGGCTATGATTTAATCTTTTGTTTCTTAATTTGATGCAGTGACATGTGATGTTGACTGTGTGTATGTGATGTTCCCACTGAATCAAAAGCATTTGTACAATGATTGAGCCAAAATTCTAAAACGTGGGAAACTTGTTTTTTCGGCCCGCCTTGTTTTTTTTTTGTCGCCCGCTCGCATTAGACTTGGAGTCTGCGGAGGATGTCATCCATAAAATTTACTTGCTGCGGCCTTACCTAGCTCACATGATTTCAGCACAATTTGATATACGCATAACGTGCACTCAAATTATGTTCTGGTCTCGGTTCGAAGTTTTTTTAATGATCTGGGGCCGATTTGATATTTCTTATAAAGTAGTTCTTGTGGGAAATTATTTGAAGAAATATATCATGAAAACATATAAATTTCATTCATTCCCGTTGTATATATTTTGTTATAATGATTTATCTAGTTGTTTTATGAAATATTTTGTATTAAGCTTTTTTTTGGGCAAAACTTTGTCTGACCCTAATCTTCATCGCTCCATTGGGCCTCGTTTTCGTTCAAACTCACGCGCGTTCTCGCCAAGCTGTGTTCTCGCGAGAGCACATTTCACAATTATGGCAATCGTAGTTTGAATTCTTATGCTAAATGAGAAGAATGATTTGCCTCTATTTTTCAGGTGACGCAGCCTGAGAAGCCTGCAGCAGTGGACGGACGAGGCTAAGGCTGCCCTTCTCCCCAGCAGTCAGGAAAGTCTTCACAAAAAGGCATTTTGTGAAGACTAACCTTTACTTCATTCTTAACTATATGTTATATGTCTAGCATGTTTAAGGAAATAATTGTTCTAGCAATTTTGGTAGGATGCACAGGTTTCGACACGGCATGTTTTCCTGGGTGCACGAGCATTAAATCATGGGGACCCTGCGCTGCGTACAGGGTACCTCCGAACCAGCCCTTTAACAGCGCTTGCTTCATTTGCAGCAAACAACAACAACAACAACATCAACAACAACAACAACAACATGCAAACACCTCCCAGCAACAACAACAACATGCAAACACCTCCCAGCAACAACAACAACAACAACAACAACAACAACATGCAAACACCTCCCAGCAACAACAGCAACAACAACAACAACAACAACAACAACAACAACATGCAAACACCTCCCAGCCGACCTCGCTCTGCCTCCCTGACAGAGCTGTAGTGGGGGTTCGAGGGTTCGCGTCTGGGATTCTGTCAAAACTGCGACCACCTAAGAAAAACCAGATCACTGAGCTCTCGCTCCTAGAATGCGGCATCACAGATTTAGAACAGGACACTTTCTCTGCCTTCCCCCGACTGAATCACTTGTACCTCGACCACAACAACCTGACTCACGTGAAGAGAACCTGGTTTGATGGCTTGATGTTCCACAGATCGTTAATAACCCTGTCCCTTTCACACAACCACATCAGTAACATCGATCCAAAATGCTTCCAAAACATCACGCTCTTGGGAGAACTGCTACTTGACGGTAACTCTTTGCAAAATATCCAGCCGTTTTGGTTCCATGGATTAAGAAATCTAGCTCGTCTGTCGTTGAAATCGAACTCCATCGAAAGCATCCATCCACAGGCATTTGAGTCCCTGTCCTGGCTACGTAAGCTAGACTTACGCGGGAATGCGTTGACATGTCTGCCAAGCAATTCTATGAAGGCGCTACGACAAAGGCTGACACATATTCAAGTGAGCAGAAACAGAATGCCTCCTCACGACGATATCGACCCCGTACCTTCGGTGATGACATGGCATGTCGACTACCGGCTTCAAAACTATCGGCCAGGTCCTGATATTTCAGTGAGGGTTGACAAAGAGCTTTTCTGTATCATAGAACGTTACGGGAAGCGAGATTCAGTCCACATAGGTATCTACAAGCTGTCTAGCATAGATGTAAGCCCAAACCCTGCATGCGGTCGGGAGATCGCTGAGACTGTTGTAGGCAGGTACGAACTGCCGTTTGTGATGATATCAGTAAACAGTGACGCAGACAAGGCACATAACGTCACGCACTGGTGCAGGCATGCCTGGGGAGACCCCGGCAGCGTTAGGGTAGCGGTGGGGAGAAACTTGACTCTGAAGATCGTTCCCCTGGCTGCAGGCGAGTCGAACACACCTCAGATCGTCGCTGTGGTCTTGTCTGATGTCACGGCAGGTGTGGATAGGAGCAGGACTTCTGGTGAGAGTTACAACAACAGGAGCATTGGAGCCACTGGTCATGAAGGAAAGAAGAACGTTACTTGTTTTCTGAAAGCTCAGGACAAGATGCACCGGCATGTATTCCCCGCGCCCGCGTCCGGTACTTCTAGTGGCCTCGTGTGTGAAGGAAAAACGACGGAGACACAGACAACAGAAGAGCTTCAGACCCACACAACCACCAAGGTCAGCCTGGACCAGACCAACCCCTACACAACTCCAGCTGGGACGGCACCGGTACAGCGGGAGGAGCGCCCCCTGCCGGGCGGTGTGGGGATCGTCACCATTTTGACTGCTGTACTCGCTGTCCTGCTAGCCGGAGTTGTCCTGATAGCACTGCTTCTAGCGGCATGCATTATCAGAAAGCGATGTGGTTCACGGGACCACCAAGCCGGACAGGCTCAAGGTCCTTCACTGGCTGTCGTCTCCGCGAGCCACTGGATGATCAGTGGAGCAAACAGCCGAGCTGTGGGCGTCAGTCAGGACACGACAAGCCCGGTAACAGCCGCGGGCACGGCCGGGCAGGACTCTCAGTCATCTGCCGGTGACGACCCGCAGTACAGCCGCATCCCTGACGAGTACTTTAACTACTACAACACACGTCCATGGGTACAGCACCCTTACTGGGAAATCCCAGACGATTACAACGACTACTACAACACACGGCCGGAGGTACAGCATACGTACAGTGAAATCCCTGACAGGTATTTCGACTACGAGAACACACGGCGGCACTCCCTCCCCACGACATCCAGTTCACACGATGATGAAGATGATGACGACACTGTACGTTTCTACGCCGCTGGAGCTGAGGTGGCCCTTCCTTCATCGGCCAGGCAGGGCGGCAGGCATCCAGGCTACGGCACAGCCCCTCCAACGGCCGCAGCACGGAACACAGAGTACCGAACTGCACGCCAAAGGCAGGCACGCGTCAGACAGTACGGAACTCTCCCCCGAACCAGATCAGACCCACGGATACCCGTACGCCGGAGGCTGACTCACGTAAGACCATACGGAACTCTTCCACGAACAAGGTCAGACCCACGGATACCTGTACGTCAGAAGCTGGCCCACGTTAGGCAGTACGGAGTGTCTACAGCAGGCAGATACAGAGCCAGAGATCTAGCTTCGATCGGTAAATATGGCAGACCACAGGACAGAGACCAGGTTAGAACCTTGTACCGTAACCTGGCTGTCCACACGTTAGCGGCCAGACAGCGCGCTAACGTGAGGTACCAGGCCGCACACACACTAGCAAACAAAACACGCACAAACGTGTCGTACCAACAAGCACAACATGATCCTACTGGCATCACCGAATCTGAAGATGGTGTCCTCACATGCGAACAGGGTAGCGAAGGCCGGGCCCGCAGATCTAAAACCCTCAGCACTGATATGTCAAAGTCAAGGGTAAAGCACTCCACTGGGAAGGCAAATCGCCGCCAAAGCATCTAGGAAGTATTAGTGTTAGTTTACATGCTTACCTAACATCTCAGCGTTTAGAAACTGCACAGCTTCACACTTACCTAACATCCCAGCGTTAAAAATGCAGCTCCACACTTACACAACATCACAGCGTTACAAATGCAGCTCCACACTTACACAACATCCTAACGTAAAATGGCAGCTCCACACTTACCAAACATCCCATCATTAAAAATGAAGCTCCACACTTACCAAACATCCCAGCGTTATAAATGCAGCTCCACACTTACCCAACATCCCAATGTAAAGATGCAGCTCCACACTAACTCAACATCCCAGCGTAAAAATGCATCTCCACACTAACTCAACATTCCAACGTAAAAATGCAGCTCCACACTTACCCAACATTTCATGCATTAAAGATGCAGTTCCACACTTACCCAACACTCAGTGTTGTATTCATGATAGATTCATGGACCTCTATATCCCTCAGCCAACGAACGCTTCTGAGGCCCAAATTTGTTGTGTGTTGTTGTTGTTGTTGAAAATTGGAGGTCATGGAAAAATCTGCAGGTTCTTGATGACCAATTGATTTTTTTGACATTGCTTTTTTTACACCCAGGAACTTTGCCGTGTAGCTTGTGCATTGGCCGTAATTGTATTTTGAGACACTGTTTTATAAACAGCATAAAGTAGTAGATCGTGTGTATCAGTAGTTGTGTAAAGCAACGCCCCAACTGTTAAAGCATTTTAAAATGATTAATACTCAGGACAATGTTGACCATTGGGTTAGTCTGGGTAACATGGTGTCAGTGCGCCACCTTGCGGCGTTTGTAGTCATTACTGTTTCATTGAATTGTATGCATCCGACAGTGTAAACAATTACACCATTGGATCACCTGAGCAACAAAATATTACAACTTACAAGGATAACGATGTATGACAAACTGGTGCATTTCTGAAACTTTTTAGTTGTAAACAAGAGAAATAAGTTATACGGCTATAGACATATACGTTAATATCAATAATATACGTCATATTTCACATTTGGTTATTATGTATGAATCAGATTGTTCTGCTTAACGTTTTTGTTATTGGACTGGAAAAAACCTCTAGTCACGTGACTGTAGTGGACCAACCAGTGAATTTTCTGTATAACGTGAGTTTTTAATAAATAATTGTTGTTGTTGTCGACACTTCTAGCCTCGTGACTCTGAATGGCTAACACTGTTAAGGTTCATTAGGTATGCAGGGATTAGTCAGGCTAATCATTGATATCTTAATTGTAGTACCGCATACGCATTGCACAGCCCACGGACTGAATTGCGTGTTTCACAAAATGACAGATTAGAAACTACACTCGAAAGTACATTACACGTACCACATTAAACGTAATCAAGAGGAAGTGATTCTTAAAACCTACAGTAGGATATGTACAATTCTATGGCAATTAGTACTGCTTTTGCTATCACTGGTACTGCTTGTTTAACAGATAGGTCATATGGAGGATCGGACTGTTATGAAATCGTTTTGTTCTTGTTCTGAGGGTAGTCAGTAGATGGTTCTGTCTGGTGTCTCTGTCTGAAATGTTACCTAGCCTCTAAGGAGGAAACCAGTTCCTGAATGTAGGGTGCATCAGCAAGGACTGTGCGAACTTTTGGCAGATATAGTAAATGTTCGCGTCTGCCATGGGTAGATTGAATGTGTGCATCCTGTCGTCTTCACATCCGCTTCCAGACATGAAAGCGTTCGGTAAATTGTAACTTCAAAGGAATGGGCATTTCCTGCAAGAGGAATTTCACCGGTAGATGACTTTTTAATGATGTTGCTGCCGCTCAACACCTGAACCTTACAAGCGTTTTCCTTTGCTTTGATGTTGCAAAAAAACATGTCTAAGTAATATCGTCAATTGGGCGTTGCCCTGGGCAGCGCTGGCAATCCAGGATGTGTTACTATGGTAACATTGACGCAGCACCCAATTATAATTTTCAGCTTAATCAGTTGACCAGTAGGCCGACAGATTGTCCGAGGTATGCTAGCCATCTAGTTGTCAAAACGGCTCCCAAACCAGTGTTTCGTACCATAGTTAAAATACTAGTCCTCGGTGAACATCGCAAAATGAACGGCAGCACAGTGAACTTCACGGGAGGAAACTCCACGATGTACGAGACTTTCTGGCCGTGTTTCTATTGGTACGAGGAAAATAATGTGGATTTTGACCAGGCCGTAGCTGCGTGCTCTCATCTTCCTAATTTGGTTCTGGATCAGAACAAGAAAGTCGGGATCGCCTCCGCTGCTGTCGGGACAGTCGCTCTCCTCATGAATGTCGTGGTTTTGTCCGGAGTGCTGAAAAACCATCAACTCTCTAAACCCATGTACATGTTCGTGGCAAATCTGGCTGTAGCGGACTGCGTGGCGGGTTTGTTTTCTTTCTTCTTCTGCGCAAGTTTCCAGTTGGAATTCTTTACACTATGGATGAGGTTGGGCTTCTACTGTACCTTCTTTGTAGTGTTGGTCTTATCAGCAGTTGGCGTGGTCCTCCTGTCCATGGACCGTTATCTGGCCATCCTCCACCCAATATTCTACCAGACCCGCATGTCTGGACGACACGTTGCCGTCAGTTTGGGGATTGCGTGGCCAGCTTCTTTGCTTGTGTGCCTGTCTCCTCTCATGGGCTGGAACTGCAGCAATATTAAGATAGAGACCTGCTTGATGATCGTGCCCGTAAGTTATCTGATTCTGACGAATGCCATCTTGTTGATGTCCGTAGTAATAGTGGTCTTCGTCAATGTCAGAATCTTCATCGAACTGAAGCGACGCTTCTCTAGAACCAGACCGCCCGAGAACTCTCGAGACGATCTGCCGGCCGCACGCCGCAGAGAACAGCGAGTCGCCGCCAGACAATACCGACAACTCCGAAACACATGGAAGATGCAGGTGACAGTTGTTATCATTGCAGCGGTGTTCATTATCTTCTTGCTACCGATTTGCATCGGTGGTATACAGCAATTTTTTTGCCTCGCAAGAGAAGACTGTGAGATGAAGGCAAGGCCGTACTGGGGGTTCCTGATCGCTCTCTTCAATTCGGTAGTCAACCCAATCATCTACGCGCTCAGGATCAAAAAGATTCGGGAAGCCGTGCATCATCGGGCCCGACGACTCGCTAACTCGGTTCGTGCAAAGTTTGGGTGGTCATCAAATGAAGTGGTCAACATTCATCAGATCGTTGCCGTTGGAGATGCGCGAGTGATGGACGCTGTTGCTGGACCAAGTACGGACAGTCGGACTGACCAGCCGCCTAAATGGGCAGCCAGTCGAAGAGCGAATCCTAGGGTCGCACTAAGCTAAGGCCATGTTGTAGTTGCAGGCACAATAGACGCTGTTCCTGAGCTGAACCAACTGCGGACAATATTGGACCAGTCATCCGAAGAACGGTAGGAAATAAAAAAAAGCGTGCCAACTTCAAGCCGTGTTGGAGATGCGGGGACAATACGCTGTTGCAAGACCAATTACGGACATTATTAGCCAGATGCCCAAATGGGTAGTCAGTCGAAGAGCGGCTTAGCTAGAATCCCAGAGACGCGCTAAGCTCAAGAGCTCAAGCGATTTAGCGATGTAGATGTGTTCTGCGTAGCATCGCGAAGGTCAGTGAAGATGTTTACGGTTAAAACCCAAAGCAATGGGGAAGACAACAAGTAAACAAGGCCTGTTATGTCTTAAAAATCAAATTTGAGAGACGTACCTAGAGGTAACATTTCTCTAGACTTTTATTGAGATCCACAATTTGCTGCATTAGAGACTATTTTTCTGGTCCGTCACTAAATGATCAAACTCACCATCTGTTTATGGAGGATCTGGACAAAGCGTATGGAAGAGAAATTGATGTCATACCTTTAAACGTTTAGACACTGTTTGTTTAAAAAATGTGATTTGATGAATCAATACACACTGTATATCTGTGAATAAATCTCGTTAAAAAGTGCATTTACTAGTCTTTACTAGCCATAGCAAGTCATTTTTATGGATGGCATCAGCGCGCGCATTAATATTTGCATGATTTAAAACAAACGTCTTGTTGAACGTTGCACTGCCCCTACGGCTGACATATGACAGCAATGGGACTGGTGAGATAAAATGGTGATCATACAACTGTATTAATTTGCCGTGTCATTAAAAAGCTCAGCATAACAGTTCTACTCGGTAACCCGTAACCCAGGTGAGTGGTAATACCATTCAGGTAATGCAGTTCAGGTGATACCATTCAGGTGGTTAACCAACCTTGAAGTGGCCTAATGGCCGTGTTACGTAGCGACCACTAAGTAAAAAATAACTTTAAAGGAATCTTTTCCCTTTTGTCATTTATGACTAATTGCCTTTACCTTTAAGCCTGATTAACTCACGCTTCTGGTGGCCCAACCGACTTATAGGTCTCCTGGGAGGGGCGTAAATGTTCGCGTCTGCCATGGGTAGATTGAATATGTTAATCCTGTTGTCTTCACATCCGCTTCTAGACATGAAAGCGTTTGGTAAATTGTAACTTGAAAGGAATGGGCATTTGCTACGAGAAGCATTTTACAAGTAGATGGCTCTTTTTAATGATGTTGTTGCTGTTCAACACCTGCACCTAGTACCTAACAGGCATTTTTCTTCGATATGATGTTGCAAAAAATCATGTCAAAATGATATCGTCAATCGGGCGTTGCCATGGCAGCGCTGGCGATGAAACTATGGTAACACTGACGCAACATCTAATTAAAATTTGTAGCATCAGTTGACCAGTAGGCCGACAGATTGATAGACAGGCTAGCCATCTACTCGGAAAGCCCTCAGTTCAGTGTTTTGTACCATAGTTGAAATTTGAGCATCGCAAAATTTGAGCATCGCAAAATGAACGGCAGTACAATGAACTTCACGGGAGGAAACTTCACACTGTACGAGACTTTCTGGCCGTGTTTCTATTGGTACCAGGAAAACAATGTGCAGTACGACCTGGCCGTAGCTGCGTGCTCTCATCTCCCTAATATGGTTCTGGACAAGAACAAGAAAGTCGGGATCGCCTCCGCCGCTGTCGGGACAGTCGCCCTGCTTATGAGCGTCACGGTTTTGTCCGGAGTGCTGAAAAACCATCACCTGTCCAAACCCATGTACATGTTCGTGAGAAATCCCTACTCTAGGTATTAATCGAGTTAAGGAATACAAACCAGCTGAATTGTGCTTAACTGTAAGCCCAGCAGACCAGGATACTTTTATTAAGGGTGGTGCCACCGAAATGTCGTTGTACACAAGTACTTTGGACTGAGAATATGCTGTAGTGCATTATATGAGGCAACAATTGATGGGATTCACATTACATCACATTTTTTCACATTTCATTGAAATTTTGCGCGAAATTCACATAATTTTCACATTCATGCACCTGGTAGTGCAAACGGCTAACATACAGTCAGCTAACGTTATTTTGGTCAGCGAAATTTTGCAAACTTTTCTGCATTGAGTAATGTATGGGTACAAGAGGTATGTTAATGTAGTATTAAATTGCCACTAAAATGTACATATCAATTTACCACATACACTGGTTTTGGATTTACATATCAAAATTTAAATATCAATATCACTCACACTAGAGAAGTTACAAGCTGGGACTTGTCACTGGTATTGCACAATCGAACACATGTATGGCACAATCAAATAATTTGATACACAGTTGCTAGTAATACATAAATTTCCGATACTTGTTGCTATAAGCTGATAAAAACAATATTGTACAAGTCATGAAATTTGAGTTTAGTCACTCAAGTCTAAGGACTGTTTTAAGTAACAAAATGGAGAATATTTAGAATTACTAGCTATAATACAGTCAGTCATAACAACAGGTATTGAGTGAACTGAATCGCTATATAGCTAGTAATAAAATCTAGTTCATATCACTTGCATGCCAAAATATTTACAGAAGTTTGTAAAATCGTGTAGAGCAATTTCAAGACAAAAGCGTATGCATAAGTACAATTCAGTGTGAGATAAAATTGGGAGACCTGAGGTCCGCAGTACGCCTCCCCTCCCCACATCCAAGTTTAAATAATAGTGAGGAATATGGCAAGTTAAAACAGTACAAAGTTACAAAGTCATGCAAAGATATTCCCAGGCAACAGTACCCTGAAGGTTTGACGCCTGTGTAAAACCTATGAACTATATGTCAAAAGAGTAACTTATTGTCACATTTGCTCAAGGACATCATGTCTTGGCTTGCTCTTTTTCTGTTTTTGTAGTTTCGCTTCCCTTTCAGCCTCTTTTGACAAACAAAAAAGTTTGAACGGTTCAGGGGGCTTATATTGGATTAACCTTTGCAAAGGTTTTCCGTTATCATTTTCCCTTTTACCTATGGGCTTTATATATGAGAGAATATCATTTAAAGTATACTGAGGTAGAGATTGGTCTCGAACTGATTGAATTTCAGTTCGCTCGTTCCTTTCTGTTTTAGTTTTCCTTCCCTTTCCGATTTCATTCTTGTTTTGTTTGAAGAAAACGTTTAAACAGTTCCTTGGGCTTATATTGGATAAAGCTTTGCACTGCTTTTTTTCTTGTATATATTCATGAGCTTTACATGTCAGAGAATTCTTTTGTGTTTCTTTTATCTTTTTCTTCTTATCATCAGTGAATTCTGAGTGAGTTTTTTTCTTGTTTTTGTGTCTATGGACTCTAAACTGCTATAATACAAGCGTCTGTCTGGCTTTCCTTGGATCTGTCTGCTACAACATTGTCTTGCTTGCTAAGACATTATGACAAATTACTTGACAAATTCTTCATTGCACACTTCTTTTGTGTCTACTGGTACTTGAGAGCTTCCTGATGACAACATTTCAACATTCGTCCCAAAGATCTAATATTGAAACCTATATGCTGATATTATATGAGAAGACATAATTAACAGTAACTTACAAAACAAATGGCCATCCTAGCATTGCTTTAGTTCATGGCCCCTCAAAGTGTTTATTAAATCAGAGGCATGTGAATTAAATCAGTCGTGGACTTTTTATCAAACATAAAATAGTTTTTCTTTTAAAGTGATTCTTGAACTGTCTACTTTAACATTGTATTCAAAGTCAAAGACCAGGTGGACGTGTTCCTCTGCAACACCAAATCATGGCTACAGACTAGTCTGTTTTTAACGTTGTCAACTTTTAAAAGGTTCTGTTGGAGACAGGATGTTTCTGTCAACACAATGGAAAATTGAGGTGGTTCTACTGTTTTTCTACATAAACACGTGTAGAAAAATCACATGTCTACAGCACTAAGGTCATGTAGAGCCACTAATATCATACATAGCTCATGATAAGACCGAGAAATTTGGTTTAAATTCTGGTGACTCTTTTTGATTTGCCTGAGTCGGAGAACAGTTTACCTTTCAATTAGGTGGCGTCGGTAGCGCATTGAGTAGAGCGTTGGACCCGGAACCAAAAGGTCCAGGATTCGATGTTCACCATGCACCGACGTTGTGTCCTTGGGAAAGGCACTTCACACTACCTTCCCTTCCCTGACGATGAAGTGACGCCCATTGGCTAATCTGCCTAAATGTGTGCCAAAAGCACATACTACCGATTTGGTTTGACAATGTGCCAACATCTGCACATTTGCCACCAAGATCCGGATTTTTTTTAATCTCTCACTGTGACGGATAGACCATCTGACGCGGGACGATTGTCACACTCGCTCCTGACGTCACTACCAACTGTCCACCCGGACTCATTGAAACGCCAATTGGCCTAAGTATATTCAGCACAGTGCGAACAAAATCACCAGAATGCGTGAACATGTCCACTCGTTTATAACCAGTGTTCGCCACGATGATGTGTCCCCAAGTGTCCACACAAATACCCAGGGGGCCAGACAGTTGACCTTCCTCTCTTCCCAAGTTTCCAAATTTGAATAAAAAAGTTCCATAGGTGTCGTAAACGTGGACGGTGTTGCTAGGTTGGTCCGAAAGAAAGACTTTTCCCTCGTTGTTTGTTGTGAGATGTCCTGTCGTATACGATGGTCGCTTCTCAAATTGTCGACCCTCATATACTGAACCGTCTTCTTCAGGAGCTTTAAACACTAACAATTTGACCCAGACAGCCGCCAATATCCTGTTATTCCGTACGTCGAAAGTTATACCACCGTCAGCGGGACCAGGGACAAGACCCCATCCTGTTTCAAGCTGGGCCTTTGGCAGTCCGCCCTGACTGTACTGCACTACGTGAAAACAAAGGCCTCTCGTGATGCTATCCTGATTCTGATATTTTGATTCCCCAAACACCCATATATCATTGTCTAAGCCAATATCAATATCGTAGGGTTTCATCACAGTCTTC